GTACTCTTCCCATAGCACTTAATGGCTCAGTTTGCATTAATCACCTCCAGTGAAAAGGTCTGCCACTCCTCACAAGTCTCCACTCCCACAACTAGGCCTGTATATCAGTCTCTGGCCTTACAAAGACTGTCTCAGCCTCGAACGTACCGTGACTTAATGCTTGGTACCAGGCTCCACCGTGGTGCTGCCCCGTCGGATAGAGGACACCGCTTACCATGTCAAGCAGTATTTACAGAAAGAGTTAATGTTGTTTCTGTTACGTTGATATAAGGAGGGAGCTGCAGATAGGGAGGACAGATGATGGAATGTGACTGTGAGCGATGCGGTTCACATGTTTTTCATCTTACAGACAGTAGATTGTTGCTGTTGAGTATAAATACTCCTCCAAAATGTTATGTTTTAGAAAAGCTTCCATGATTTGTACATGATTGCCATGTTGTTGCCTGCTTTAAACACGGGGTTTGACAGCGTTTCTATAACAAAGTTGATAGGATTTTCCCGTAACTGCAACATTTAAAGTTAATAGAGTTTTAAACCTAATGGCTGTAGAAGTTTCTAAGAAGTTTATTTCAAAGTGGAGGATGATGTTTGCCTTAAAATGTTTAAATTTGCCTTTTTTTACATGCTTTACAGTTGGTTGATCCAGAGTGAAATAGTCAACAAATCTTACTTTTCTCTTGTGCCACCATGATGTTGATATTTGTGGGTTTTTTGTGTAATATCTTGGTCACTCTGGTTGCCGTTCAATGTGCTACATTCATGTCCCCCTTAGGATGAATTGTAATATCTTTGGTGATCCTGTGACTTGATGTTAGCACAGCCTCATGGACCGCTAGCATAGCTGTAAACTCTTGTTCTTTCTATTTGTCATAATTAAAACACACCTGTTCATCCTTGTTGCCACGTTGATACACAAACTGAGAACCTCTGATAGCTTTGTGAGCCAGGGTGTCGGCAGTATTATTTGTACAGTAAAACAAATTGCAATTTGAAGGATAGGTGAATCATTGTTTGCATACTGCGTGTGTTATTTGATATCTTATTTAACAGTTTAAAGTTTACATTTATATTTTTCCTCTGCAAAGTACACATCAGTGAATCCACCCTTCAAACCTCAAACAGGATTTACTGCTCAGTTATGACTGTGTGTCTGCAGTCAACGTTGACTAGATAACAAATTGTTCACCAAGTGAAAATTAACCACAGCTAGTGAGTAACTGACTCCCATTTGAACTCTTATTGTAATTGTTGGGTGTGTGAGAATGGCGACCTTAAATTACTCCTAAACACAATGTGAAGTAAAGTCCACGAGTTAGCACATAAACCATTTTGCACGGTTATCACGCACAACTCTGAAAAGCTGACTGTGCAGAATGTGTGAAACATTCAGAGAATACTTTCTCTTCCAAACTCATGAAAGGACATTTGTGTCCAAATAAATGTGCGTTGCTGTTGAGCCACATTTGCACTTTAGCAGTGTCTTCAAAGTGCAAACCAAAAGCTATTGGTCTCAGTTTTTGGGTGGGGGGTAAAATGTGTCGGAGAACAACGAATGATTTGTGGGGACAACAGACACTCGTTCGAAGAACTTGTCCAAAATTATTTAGCCTCTGGATAAAAGTCTCCTTGTTGTGGTATGTATGAACGCTTCCCTTATTCTCGCTATGAACCCCTTTTATGATGCTTTACATAGAGATATTCACATAAAAAACAATCTCTAGTCATCAAATAGCTTTGTGTAGACCTTCAAAGCCGAGCGTCTTCAGCGTCCAACAAGGCCAACAACAGAAAAACAGAAGAAAAAAAAAATCAGTGTCGCTCTGCTGACCAAACATAAAAAGAGACCATTACAAAGGTTGAACTGTTTTACCCCTCTTCACCCTCCCACCCTTTCTTTTGGCAGAAACAATGTTGCTGCATTACTTGACTGTTATCCTTCCCCCCTGATGATTTTCTTTAGCATTTTTTACTTCTCTTGTTTGAACAGATGCCGCCCCCCTCCTGCAGCCCCCATCCTCTGGGATTGCCATACGCCTTAGCACAATGCTGTAACACTCAATATCATTAATGTTAAAAGTCCAACCCAGACAGTTCCTTCCACTAAGCAACATCAAACAATATGATGTATATAACTTCCTGAGGAAAATTTGTAGTCTTTTGTCCTACTTTATTTATGAATGCATTATGAAAGAGGCAGCTGAATGACCGTGCTCACCTTACCTTTGTCCATTACTGCTCATAAAGCATTTTATAGCAGGATGTATCCTAACATCTTGACCAAACACCAAACAGTCAATGGGTTGGGTTAAACTGGGAATGACTGGGGAGTGGAGGCAGATTTCACCAACCCTCTCATCTCATGTCCACCCTGGTAGCTGAACTGGCAACTCATCCACTAGAATTCTGGGTAAAAACCTGTTCTTGACATAAGCAGCTGGTGTTGTCTGTAAACAAGGACGGTGGTGGCTCACGGTTCCCCAGCGTCCTGTTTTAGCTGTGCACCAGTTACATGCTTCGAGTGCCGCAGAATCCAAAAGGCATCAAAGAATCCAGAGAAATGTCACCTTTGACCTTTTGTGATATTTAAACTTGATTGTATTTTGACCCAAATTCTGTTAACACACTCATGAGCTTGACGTTGTGAAGAACTGATGGTATGTGGAGGTGTGAAACATGCAGCTGACGTTCATTTTCCACAGCTTTTTCAGAGTGGCTTCAACAGCTACAAGCCCACTGGTGCAACTCTGGATTTTATGCTACTAAATCTGCATTTTCCCCATTCAGAGAAATCTGAACTGCATATCCTTACGTTTGCCGTTTACAGTTGTGAACAAAGTATCCCTGTACTACTGTTCCTGCTGCTGCTGGAACCAAATCATAGTGAAAAATGAACACAGATACATTTGATCAAAAATCAATATTCACTGGACCAAAAATGTCCAACCAGCAGCCAAATGCTGCATAGCACAGATCTGTGTTTTCTGTGGTGAAACAAATTGAGTTTTTCGAGTGTGGCTGCAAAGTTAATGTCATTACCGTCACATTGAGAATTTACACCATCTCTGTTACCATTGAAATATTATAGATTATAGTGTATTTGCAAATAAGGAATGACACACAGATTCCATACTGCTTATACTCACATTTATATTTGATATGACTGCTGCACATGGAGGGATTATTAACAGGCCCCAGTGCACATACTTGTAAAAGCCCCCCACAACCCTCCTACATAGGAATAAATAAATAAATAAATGTCCCATTGTTGTTATTCATCAGTAGTTTACCACTCAAAAACTCATTGGGACTGTGTACGTGTGGTTTGACCAGCTTTGACTGGCAACAGCCTGGAAAGATGAGGAACATCCCCACAACTCATCGCGTTTGGATTGAAATGTTGCTAAGTGCTAAGTGGTGCACAGAAATACATGACATCAGCCTTTCTTCAAACCGATGAGACGAGCTCGGACAAAACACAAAACACAGACAATCTTTCTTATAAAATAACCCCTAACGGTTGCAGCTTTGGCAGAACATTTTGTGGCAACAGCCTGGGCCTTTAATAAAATGTTACTGTTGTGTCAAGTGTGCTGTCCAGCTGCAATATGAAGTAAGAAACAAACTCAGATATCGGATTGGATTTGGTTGGCAGATACTCATTAAATTCAGGAACAGGAAATCCAATGCAACCCCTGCTTTTAACTGAGCTCTGTCACTTCCCCAACAAAGAAATGTCAATTCACATCACTGCAGCATCCTGTGTGGAGAACGAGTTCAGCATGCAGGCATATTTCACTCAATAGTTTTGGTGGCAGAAAACACTGTAAAATCTGTCTCAGTTCAACCCCTTCTGTCAAGGTTAAACTCCGTTTTGTCAACAGTGCTGTTGACAGTTAAAACTCCCCCCCCCACAGAGGACTTTATAGCTTGTGTACATGTAATTTATGTTTGTCAATATTTAGTGGTCGTTTGCCTCATGATGAACATAATGCAGGCCATTAATCATCCATTTTTCCCCCTGTTCTTCCACTACAACATCTTCTGTGGTTTAAGCGGGCTCCGCAGCAGCCGCTGAACATCCACTTTCTGTCAGCATCGCGCCGTCGGTTCCCCCTTTAAAGGAGCCCCGCCCCGAAATCAGTCGATCAAATTCAACATCGGACTCACCAGCTTCTGACCAATCAGCACGCCGGGGGGGTGGTCTCGAGAAAGTGGTCCGGGAGGCCGGCAGCCAATGAGAGCTCGAGCCTCGCAGACAAAGGGCTCGCGTCAACGATCGTTGGTTGCTTGAATGGCTCATTATCTATGTACAAGCTGAGCTTATTTAAGGAGACACGATGAGGCGAGATAGCGGATCCTTATAAAAGGTAACGGATGTCCACAGCCCTAACATATTTCATGTGTGTGTGTAGTGATGTGATGCAAAAGTTTTAAATGATTAAAGTGACATTGTTTTGTAATAATTTCCCTCAACATTGTACATTTACACACACACACACACACACACACACACACACACACACACACACACACACAAATCCCTGTAAGCGCATTAGAGAAATCTCCAGGTGTAATACTACTACCGTGTGTGTGTGTGTGTGTAAGCATGCTCCTGCTAATTCATTCACAGTCCTGGTGGATGTTGCATGTTGTGTATAGCAAGCTCATACATGCTGGTAACTCTAAATACCATCACAGCAGTACAGCAGCAGTTTAAATACAAACTCTAAATCAAGCTCTTTTAAGTTATTTAACGCCAACAAAAGTTTCAAATTGTGCGTAAAGGCGCAGCAAAAAAAAAAAAAAAAAAGAGGGAATAAACGTGAAAAATAATTCCGTTTATAAAACTATAATATGTTTTGTTTTCGTTGTTTTAATAGTGACATCAGCCATGTAAGCAAAGCTCCATCACTGCCTTTTTCCTTTTTTTTTTTTTGTCCTTTTACACACACCCACCGCCCATGCAGCCTCCCCAAAACGCTGTTCGCCTGACCGAGTTCATTAATGCGTAGAGGAAGGGGAGGAGGTGGACGGCTCTTCTTCTACGACCCGATGTGCTGAGAGCTCCTGTTTCATTTCACCACCGCCTCCGAGCAGCTCGGTCCTCTCCCTCTCCGTTTAGGTATAGCCAGAGGGTTTTTTCTTTTAGCGTGAACTCGGATTTTGATGAAAAGTGCCAACATTTTTGATACTTTATTGTTTTTTTTCTAAGCCTCGCCGGGGAGACCACTCCAGGGCGGCGGAGAGAGAGAAGTTTAAACCCCCAGCTGCTGTACAGGAGACGGTGGATCCGAGGTTTCACGATCCCCCCACCATCACATCACCACCGCTATCTTTTTGTTTTAGCTTAATTATTTTTGTTGAGGGAAGTTAAGTGAAGTTTCACCGAAAACCTCCTCCTCCTCCTCTTTCCCCCGAGAGGGACACAACACATCCGCCCGGCATCATGACTCGGAGATCCTGTGCCATTTACGCCACCGGCATCGTGTGCGCTCACCTCCTGATAGTGGGGATCGCCCTGGTCGTGGCTCAAGTCTTCCAAACAATGATACACAGCCGGCTAAAAAAGGTAAGTTGTACCATCTTTTGACTGTTTTAAGGAGGAAGTCTTTTTCTTTTCTCAGAGGCTTTCTTTCCTTAAACACTTCTCCCCATCTGTCACACTTGAGGGCTTTCAAATGTTTCATCTGCAGTGGCCAATCATGCGCATTGAGCATCTCACTGGTGGTAGTACATGCAGGGTCACAAGATCATCCAGTGTGTTTGTGTCAATTACCTTTATGTTCTCTGATTGGTTCATTGGTGATGTATTGCTTTTTTTTTGTTGTTGTTGCATTCTCCATCTCCAGTGAATCTAGACTCCTTACCTTCATGGATCCGCATAATCCCAGGTTGTAAGTCATATTACATGGTTGTGTAGCTCTGGGTTGTTGTTTTTTGTGTGTTCAAGCTTTTGCGTTTAAACACATGATTAACCACCCTGTGTATTTAAACATTAGTCTGCACACAGACCTAATAAACGCTTCGCTGTAGGTAGAAATCCCCTGTAATTCCCATAAGGGGGAATAATGAATGTGTGACTCTCAGAGGTGAAATCATCATGACCTTACCCCATTTTTATCTTTTATCGCCCTTTTACATATCTTTAACATTCCTCCACGGATCTGCAGAGTTTATATGATTTGACCAGTCATCACATGATTTTTACTTAATGAAATCCACTCTGGAAAATGGGAGGGAAGACATGATATGTTCCTTCTCCTGTCTGATACTGTAGTATTTTGTTAACGTGTACCAGCACTGCGCGCATGACCCAGTGACACATTGCTGCTGCTGCTGCTGCTGCAGGCTGATACCGACTACTTCATGGTTGTCTTTTCTTAGGCAGGGTTGTAGTAATAGTAGAAATCTCAGCCAGCAGGGACATGGTGGGCAGCCGGGGGGAGGTGTGTAGGTCTTGAGGAATGGGGGAAGGGAGCAATGGGTGAGTGGACAGCCAAGACAGGGAGTCCCTGACTTTCAGTGGTGGATCTGTAGTTTTTGCATGGTGTGGCAAGAGGAGGATGAGTGGTAGCCATCCACTTTGTGTAAACCAGACAAATCTGTGTTCATTTGACTGACACGTACGTACGTATGTACGTACGTATGTATATGTATGCACAGATAAATGGTGATTTTAAAAGGTTAAAAACATGAAGCTAAATGATAGAACATAAGGTGTAAGTCCCACTAATGGATCTGTATGAGGTCTGTATAGTACAGGAATCCCCCTTAAACTCCGCAGATTTTTTGTCATACAACTGCAATACTGGTCTATTTTGAGTCTTCGCTGCTTCACAAATCAATCAAGGCTTGATCAGCTCTTTCCCTGTTTTGAGATAAATTCTGTTAAACACATAGGCTTTATTTTACTGAGCAAGGTGACTTTTTGTAATGATTTAACAATCACGTTCGCAAAATATGAAGAGCGCTCTAGTTTAACATTTATTCCCGACCCGAGTTGGATTGACAAAAAACAAATTATAGTATTGTAGGGCATGTAGGGGCGACAGGGTGGCAGTCTGATGGGGTGGGGGTGTTGGCAGCTGTCACCCTATCTCACCCTGCAGACCCACCGCTGCACTCTTGCAATGGCAATACCTCACATTCCTCTCAATCAGTTTGAAGTGAAGAAGCAGACAAGATTTGAAAATACAGAGTATCCACACAAAGTCGCCCCCCCCCTTGTCTGCTTAAAAGAAGAAAAAGCCAGCAACAGCTCAGCAGAAAAGCTCAACACGCTATTTATCCAAGTAGGGGACTCGCAAAAACAGCTTCCTCACTGACACGGTTTCCCCCTCCTGGAGTTAAATTTAGGTCTGGGTCTCATTTGATTCTCATTCCGAATCACGGCAACGTCCCAGGGGCCCCAAATTAAAAGAGTTAGTCAAAGTTCATCAACGGGGGGAAATAATTCTGATGTGGCCAGCGATTACATGAAATGACAGCATAGCTAATCCTCTTTCGCCACAGTCTTCCCACTGAATCAGGCGGGCCTGGACATGCTGAACTGACTCCAAAAATCTACCTAATCTGATGTTCGAATGTGGCTGTCTTTAATAATGATGTAGCCTAGTTGTTTGGGACAAGTTTAAAAAAAAAAAAAAGCTACCTCCTGGACACAGACTCTGTATGTCTGGCGAGCTGGGTGTGGAGGGAGGGTGAGCATTTAAGCCATTTGAGGAATGTGACAGACTTCTCGGGCCTCGAGGGCATGATTTTGGCCTAGGAGCAACCGCGTAGTGCCTTGTTGTTGTTCCAGTCCCGGCCTATCCTGAGTGGTTCTGCTCAGACGAGGAAACTAAAAAGAAAAACACCCACTCGAGCCACTCCTCTAAATCCTGTTTGGGAGAGGAGACTTTTCAAGGTAGAAGGACTGATTGAGCTTAAAGTGTACAAAAACAAGGTTGTGCTGGTAAAACGCACACGTTTTAGTGCCCGCTTAAATGCAGAATTTTCAACAGAGGAGGCACTTGATGAAGCACTTACATTGTTTTTTAATTATTTTAATTGTTTTCCACATGCGGATAAAAGCAGGATCTTGTCATGCCACACCTAAGCTTTGCCTGAAGTTGTTTGGCAAAGGCTTAGCTCACATTTCTGTCACTGTTTAGTTTGAGTCCTTCTCTCATTCATTTTGATTACACTGAAAAACCTCTCCAATCTGTCCCTCACTTGTATAGATCAAGGTTTTTCTGAGAGATAAATGATGTCCGTGTAACTTTTGAAGGTTTTTAGATAGACCTTTGTTCAAGGTTGGCAAACATGGGGATTCATGTAGGCCACAGTAACTCGCTGGCCTGTCAAATGCCGCAGAGGAAAGGCCAGACGAAACACAAGCCTGTTTCAAAAGTGACAGAGTTTGCATTTTGGAAAGGGAACAAATTAGGTCATTTCTGCTGGTTTTGTGTAACATCCTTTATTGCGCTCTGTCTGCTCATTGCGGCCATCCACTTCTATTGTATTACCTGGTTCTCCATCAGCTCATAATTAAGTGGCAGAATGATCGAGACTCAGGAGAATCCCTCTTCTTAAATACCTCAGGTTCCTTTTTAATGTCTACTCTGATTCTGAAGACTTTTGATGAGTAGTTGCGCAACTGTGACGTCAACCTTACTGATTATTGAACACAGCTGCAAACTAAAAAATATAAGATTTAGCAGAAAGTAAGCATTATTCGCAGCCCTAAGCCACTCAAATCATTATTATTAATCTGTAGTGCTATAAGAGTAAAGGGTATAGCTCTTTATCACATAACCAAATCAGCCAAATTAGACTATCCTTCCTTAGCTGCAGTGTGTTTAAATCTTACGTTGAACCATCTATCAAAGTAGGTATTTTAGTTGACCCCTTTGAGATCTAATGTGGGTTATTGTAAAGTAACAAAGGGGAGAGGATTCAGTCAATGCGGGGGAAACCGTTCTATAGAGCAAAACATGTTTGAAGGTAGGAAGTCTTAAAGCAAACAGGAAGTGTCAGCTATATTGTCTCAACGGCAAGAAGAAGGCGCCCACAATGTAAAGCTCAAGTGCACCTCGCTGTACGAGGGTTTTCAGGAACTCCATGTGAAAAAGACACAAGAGGAAGTGGGTCATTTCTCCCCGGCCAAGAATGGGAAAAGCTTTCTTATTTTTCCTGGGTTGCAAACACCTTCAGTCAACATACTGCCTGTTGTCCTATTCAACTGAATGGTCTAGTTAAGGGTTACTGTTGCTCATGTTTAAACATGTGGCAACCAAGCTTACGTCATACAGGGTTAACGTCAAATTTCAGGCTTGTTTTTTTTCTCCACATGATCACAGTCAAAACATCTGTGAAAGCACAACCATGTTCTACTCATTGTGGTTGCTTTGGCTTGCATGGTTTGAATTCAAAAACTCACCTGACATCCTGCATGTAGTTTGACAGCTAATGCTGTAGAGATGCAAAGCGCTGCTGGATTGTGTGGGCTGACTCATAGCCGACAGTCAGATTCTTGCCTAGGCTTGCTGAGGTCAGAGACTGGGTGCAGGAGATTTTCTGCCTGTCCTGACATTTTTTTTTTTTAAGCTATGAAGGACTTTTCTCTGCTTCCCTCTGGGTTTTTTGGGGTCTTGGCCCAACACCAGCTCCTTGTAGAAAAGTGCCATGTGTGCGCTCAGATGGCAGTGAAGAGTTTTAAGAGTGCCCAGATGTGAGTTATTCCACCCAAAATGTGAAAGTTTGGAAAACCAAGTTGCCACAGCTTTCAAAACGCATTAAGCTGTAGCAGGTGTAACACCACTTTTTTGCTGTTTCTCAATCTGAATTTGTATTTTCCACTTTCGTCCATAGGAAATGACTTTAACAGAGAAGAGCCAAGTGTTTGAGTCATGGAAGAATCCACCTCCACCTGTTTACATGGAGTATTACTTCTTCAATGTGACCAATCCAGAGGTGTTCTTGGCAGGCGGAAAAGCAGCTGTTAAACAGATCGGTCCCTACACTTACAGGTAGGTTTAATATGAGGCCCCGAAGAGCTGCAGCTGTAAAAGTTCCTAGTAATACATATTGTGACGGAAAAGGTAACTGGTTATCACAATAGCCAGTCAGTCAGTTCAGGTCCTGTTTAAGGAAAGCCATCTTGCATCTGGTTCATGTGGGATCATTTTGTTAGTGCAGTGTGAAATCGAAAACAAAAGACATCTGGATAAACTGAATGATGTTCTTTCCGCACCAGGGAATACAGGCCGCGGGAAAACGTGACTTTCCTAGAGAACGGCACCAAGCTCTACGCCCTGAACCCCAAAACGTTTGTGTTTGTGCCCGAGAAGTCAGCCGGTGACCCTGAGGTTGACATCGTCAGGACTGTCAACATCCCATTTGTGGTAAGATGTGGTGTCTGTACAGGACAATATGTGTTATTATAGCATGCAGCAGCCAGTTTATGGAGTTTGTCATTTGATTGGCACGTGTGTTCTTATTTCACCACACATGCTATAATTCCCCTGACAACCCCCAGGCCATTGTCCTTGTGGTTTTGTTGTGACATTCCCATATCTTGAACATACAAACTTCAGTTGTATGAGGCCAAGACAAACAAGCCAAGTGAACTTAAATGACACAAAAAAGACATCAAGTATAGCAAACAGAAATGTGTGTGTGTGTGTGTGTGTGTGTGTGTGTGTGTGTGTGTGTGTGTGTGTGTGTGTGTGTGTGTGTGTGTGTGTGTGTGTGTGTGTGTGTGTGTGTGTGTGTGTGTGTGTCTGTGTGTGTCTGTGTGTGTGTGTGTGTGTGTGTGTGTGTGTGTGTCTGTGTGTGTGTGTGTGTGTGTGTGTGTGTGTGTGTGTGTGTGTGTGTTAGGAGCCAGTCTTTCCGTTGTCTGTTTTTATTTCATGTTTTTTTTCACTGTCCTTGTCTTTTGTCCTCAGGCGGTGATGAGCGAGCTGAACTCCTACTCGTTCTTCCTTCGAACTTTTGTCTCTATGTACATGAATGGTCTGGGTGTCGAGTTGTTCATGACCCGCACTGTCCACGAGGTTCTGTGGGGCTTCAAAGACCCTCTTCTCACAAAGATCCACTCTATGAGGCCTGAAGTGGATGAACATTTTGGGCTGATGTGGAAGGTAAGTTTGGCGATATTGTTTTTTTCCCCGAGGTGAGCTTGGCGTTACTTTAGTGCAAAAACCTGAAGAAGTCTGTTGCATGTTATTTGTGAGGGGTTACTAGACAACAGCAGTCAAAGTGTCTGTGGCCGCTTCACGTAAGAGAAGTGAGATTGGCCACATGCTGATGGAAGATGCTTGTACTTCCTGTTTATAGAGCAACGTCTGCAACTTGGCCAGGTGGTGACGGTAGCATAGCCACGTGATCCTGACTGCAGCATTTTGGGTGACTTAAATAGAGCTATCAGTTGATCCATTGATCAGTTGATGAATGGAAAAAGATGTCTTTGGTAACTGTTTCAAGAAATTATGTAAAAATTTCACTGGCTCCAGCCTCTAAAATGTGAGAGCTGTATGTCTTTCTGTATTAATATGATCTTAAACTGACCATCTGTGGGATTTGTTTGTTGAACAAAACAAGCTATTTGAAGATTGTAGTAGGTAGAAGTAGAAAAAAAGGGGGCATTTTTCAATATTTTATGACATCTATTCTATAGACAAAATGATTACTGATTACAACAGTAAAAATGATGATTGCAGCCCTAAAGGTTAAGATCACCCTCTGAAATGTCATTGTAGCTTTCTTTTGAGGTCAAAAAAGGTCAATCAATTGCTTAAGCCTTACAGCGTGGGAATCTGGAGAGAATACACTAACTAAGAGGCATGCCGATGACTGATACAAAGCAGTATTTCTTTCATATACATCATAAACACTGTTTCTGACTCAGTGCCTCTCCCTTCTATCCTGAACGGTCGTCTGTCACAGCAGCTTTGTCTGAACCTTGTGTCTTGTTTTCCACAGAAAAATGGCACCCATGAAGGAGAGTTTGTGTTCCACACCGGCGAGGAGAACTACTTGGATTATGGCAAGATCGACACATGGAACGGCCTGAGGTAAAGACTCCTATCAATCTTTTTCCTGCTTCCCCCCTGTCATTAAACAGATGGCTTCCACTTCCTCCCAGGCATGATATTCATATCACAAACATCGTATATTATATTTACCTTGTTACACAACCTGTACTGGAAAGTCCAGAGGAGAAAGCCTTTGCTCTCTGGTTTTAGGTAGAACACGATTGCAAAATTAATGTTTGAATATCCGAAGTGACTTTGCACTCTGAATGTAATCAGCATGTGTAAGTAAATTTCAGTAGTGGAAAAAGTATTCAGATCCTTTGCTTTAATAAAAGTACCAGTACAAGAGTACTTAAAAGTCTTAAGTATAAATACAGAGGTACTAGCAGCAAAATGCACTTATAGAATCAAACAGAATGAAATCAAAATGATCATCAATGTGTGTGTAACGTTTTACTGTTTTAGCTAATTTAAGGTGGAGTTCATTTTAACAAATGTTATATACAGTAACAGTTAGTGAAGGGTCGTGAGATGATTCATGTGGCATTAAGTAAAAGATTCCCTCAGAACTGCAGTGGAGTAAAAGTATAAAATAGCATAAAATGAAAATTATACTACTAATGCCACTATTTATTTTTTTATCAACAGGGAGATGTCGTGGTGGTCTTCCAAGCAGAGTAACATGATCAACGGTACTGATGGCGCGGTCTTCCACCCTCTGATAAACAGGAACGAGCTGCTCTACATCTTTGCTGCCGATCTCTGCAGGTATGCACACATTGCTTACATGGCTATGAATTTGTTTACAGTCAAAGCATCCCAGCAGGGCGGGGACCAGAACTTGATGATTAAGTTACTAAATTGCAGCTACGTCATAAACAATATGTACAACTCCACCGATAAGGTCCCGAGTTTATGATTGTTGCAACTTCTGATAAGGCTGGAATGAAACTCCCAACACATGGGAAAGTCAAAGAGTTTGACCTGGACCTACTTGGGATGCTTTAGGAATGATTATACAGGAAGTGATCCCCACCTATTACTATTATCCCTGCCATTTCCTTCTTCTTGATGGCTCTTAAGCTCTGTCTCAACAGTTTCTTGACGATACTCAGTATGTAGTTCTTTTTTTGTGATTCCCCAACGTAGGCACTGAGCTTGTTGTCTTTCCTTAGGTCTATCCATCTAGCATATGTGAAAGACGTGGATGTGAAAGGCATCCAGGCGTACCGCTTCGCACCCCCTAGTGACGTTCTCATGAGTCCCAAAGACAACCCCGCTAACGAGGGCTTCTGTGTGCCAGCTGGAGACTGTCTCGGCACCGGGGTGCTTAAAGTCAGCGTTTGTCGAGAAGGTAAGGGACTGCCCCATTTCCCCCGTAGTAGAGCCTGACCCACTTCCTTTTGATGACTCGAAACAAGCCCCATGACCCAGTCTCCCCCCTCCCCCCTTTTCTGCCCCCAAAAAATGTCCTTTCAGGCAGCAACCCTGTCCCCCTGCCTGGTATCTGACATTCCTGCTGTTTGAGCATGCCGGATTTTACTCAATACACGGTTCAATGATTAACTGTGCTGACTATGTGTGGAGGCTATTGAAGTATTTTATGGTGGTCATTAAGTGGAGTGTGATTGCTCTGATAAGGCAATCTTCACTGGACTTGACACATGAAGACAGTGTAGTATCACTAACAGATATGCTACTGTAGCGCCTGGGTTCTGCAGTTTGTATCATTTACACACAGTTTAGTTAAAATCTTTATATGTTGATATGAAAAAAATAAAATAATAAAGTCTTAGTGGAAGAAAACACTAAACTGTCATAACAGTATATGTATAGAATAATTATAGGAAAGGTCAATGCTGTTTGAACTCTGCTAGAACCTGATTGGCTCTCTACACCAGCTCCTATGACTCAAATGCGCATGATTGGACAGATTTATGTGTTACCAGACGGGCAGCCAATCAAGACCAAGCCTGGTTGTCATGTGCCTAGTGGTGTCATTCTGAAACTGCCTGTGTGGTGGGGCAAAAAAAAAATGGAGCTTATGGAATTATTGTCAGAACTGCATTTATTTTTATCTTAAAACATCCACTCGAGCATTTTAGTTTAATTTAATAAATGTAACGTTGCTTTTAACCCCAGTATCTTTTCAATGGTTCCTGTTTTTTAACATTGGCAGTATTTTTAGATTCAGTTTGTTTGGATTTGGCTTCTTTTAGGCCTTAAAATAATCAATAAATATAATAAAATATAACTTTAAGAAAGTACAATTTAACATTTAAATGGAAAAAATATGAACAATCAAAGTAATATTAAAGCTTGTGGTCAAAATTGTCTGATGGTGGTAGGAGGTGTTTTTGGTGATTCATTAATTCACCTCCAGTATTTCTAAGATGTTACCTATCTGCTATCGGCTGCACTGTATTTGCTACAGATATACTGGTATATCTACTTGTATATCTACTTGTATTTCTACAAACACCAGATAGTACTTTTACCCTATCTCACATTTCTTATTTGATCTTTCTTCAGGCCTTGTTTTTAAGACTGACTCATCTACGGATACAATCAGGATCTCACTCATCTGTTTATCTAACTTGTTTCCCTCAAGGCGCTCCCATCGTGGTGTCTTTCCCCCACTTTTATCAAGCTGACCCGAAGTACATCAACGCCGTTGATGGCCTCAGCCCCAACAAGGAAGAACACGAGACATACCTCGACCTGCAACCGGTATGGCTAATATTTATGATCACAACAGATTAAGGCCAGGAATCTGTGCTGAACCTTGAGCTGTTGGTTTATGACTGTCTTTATCTAAATGAGAATTAGTTGTTTTGACTCATTCTTAGTAATTGCTCTTCTTGTTTTTGTTTGCGTTGATGGTTGTTCTGTATAATTTTTATCAGCTTACATTAAAAAAAAAAGCATAATGTGCATTTCATGATATAAATAGTTCCAGCATTCTTTAAGTATTTGTATATTTAAATGTGAAAAACGCAGAAGAAAGCAAAATAAAAAGGTACAAAAGAGAAAAAAAATACACATGAAGAGGAAAGATACAAAAAACTTTATCCCATACAGAAACAAAAGGGTTTTGATTAGCTGTACATATTAAAACAATCTCTTCGACCACTATAGCTTTCATTTCTCAAGGCTCGTACTGTAGTTTTTTTAATTACAGGAAAGAAAAAAGTTTCTGAGTTGTTGTAGGATTCACTGAAACCTTTTGTCTGTCTGTTTTTTTTGTTTTGTTGTTTTGTTTTTTTTTTAGACCACGGGTGTTCCCATTCGTGCCTGCAAGAGAGCTCAGCTCAATATCATCCTGAAGAGAGTCCAAGGCTTCCCGTAAGTCGAACTTTGTTGAACTCTGACCCACTTTGCTGTCGCCACACTCTGTCCCCATTTCAGCCACATGTTGAGCCAGATGTCCTCCCTGACCTCTGTGTCTCTCTCTCTCTTCCTCCCCCCTGCAGCAAAACTAAGTTCATCAATGAGACCATTTTCCCCATCATGTTCGTCAATGAGGTGAGGGTTTCACTCGGTGCCATCTGAGACACATCTGTTCTCGCGAGTGAAACACAAATCAATAATCATTTTTCTCTCGACCGTAGACGGCGACTATTGACGATGACTCGGCATCCCAGATGAGGACGCTGCTCCTCATCGTGACTCTTGTGTCTAACTTCCCGTTGCTCATCGTGGGCATGGGCATCATCCTGCTGCTGGTGCTCGTCGTCTTGTTCTGCCGAAACCGCCAGAAGAAGGTAGGAACTACCCCCTGTGGCTTTTGACTGAAGTGTAGTATTAATCCACACAGTTACCCTGGTTTGAAAAGTGTGTGTGTGTGCTACCCATTGACATTAGCTCACAAAGTAAAATGAGGCCTAGGCTGACAATGGATAGATGGTAGTACTGTAGCACCATAAATACTGCAGTTTTGGGGAGTTTCACTGGGTTTTTGCATGGTAAACAGTTTCCTGAGCTGCTGCAGGGTTTAACCCAAAGCTACGTGCATGTTAACTAACACATTGCATGATTCCTGCACTGCAAGGTCAGCATGAGCAGTTCTTCCACAATTCTGGATCAAAATGGTGTATTCTTTTTGTTTTGTTTTTTTTGTTTTTCTTGCTGAACGTTTTCTAACAGTCGATGCATCATTGATGAGTCGACGAATCTTTGTATTCAGGAAGGAAGCATCTGCGTTTCCCTTCTGGTCAGTGTAGTTATGAGCTAGCTTAGCACTATGGAGTAGCAAAGTGCATTGAACTAGAATAATCCTCAGAGTGATGTACAGTGCATGTTCACCTCTGTATCTCTAGCGGTGCAGGATTGTTGATTACAGATTATTGTAGTTCAGGTTGAACAGTCAAGATAGCGGCCTGCAACATTTGAAAGGAATAGTTTGACGTTAAACAGGGAAACTGCTAATCTGGCTCTGCCCAACTGTAACAAAATCCACCTATCAGGAACAGATTAAACAAACAAGATCTAACGTGTTGTTAGTTAGTGAACTTTAGAGGTGCTGCTATTAAGATTTTTTTACCTTTGGATGGAGCCAAGTGAACTAGTTTGCCTCAGTTTCTATTCTTTTGTGCTAAGCTAACTGGTTGTAGCTTCATATTTAACTTCCAGAAATGAGACAGCATCTGTCTTATCATCAAACTCCCAGCAAAAGTTAAAAAAAAAAAAAAAAAAAAGCCTATTTCCCAAAATGTCAAACTATTCCTTTTTAAGATGCACACATGCATTTAAGTTTAGACCTTCAGCTTAGCATTGAGAGGATGTTTATGCTTAATTGCAATGTGAAGATTTTGTTGTATTAACAGTGTTCTAATTTTAATTTCTGTAACCCCCCCTTTTTTCCTTTTCTGTTTTAGAATGAAGTAAAACGTATTGATTTTACTGAAGCTTTTCATTCTTTTACTGTAAGTCTTAATTTTTGCCTTGTTTGCTATTCTCCTTTTTAATTTGTTATCCACCATCTCTGATTATTATCATTTTTAATTACCTTATGGGACATGATATTCCTTTTTAAGTTCTCGCCTCACAGTGGATTTTTCTTTTATTTTTAAGTTAATGTTTTCTGTGGTGGTGGTGGTGGTTGTTGTTGTAACTGGAGCATATTTAGATTGATGTGGTTCACTGTGGACATTTCAGCCAAAAACATTTATTCCCATTTTGATGTCAGTGTTCAAGTATAAAAGAATATTTGGACGTTCTGCCACTTCAATAGTTTATACTAACATCTTCTGTCCTCCCGACTCTTCCCCGTCCAGACGGTGAAAGATGACACGGCCTACACTCAGGTCAGCGACAAACCCGACGAGCCTTCAGAAACGCCAGCCAACCAGCCAATGAGGAACGGCTCCTACATTGCCATGTCTCCAGTGGAGGCCCAGAAGTGTTGATTGAGGATCCCCTCCCCACGTGTGGAGCTCAGGAAGGGGGGCTGAGGGAGCAGCACATGGGTGTTACACTACCACAGGCGGGGGTTAGCACACACAGTGGGCTCATTTTCACTTAATTTGGGGGTTGGGGTGGGGAGGATAGGGAATGGGGTAGGACACGAGCCCCAGTAAATGTTTAGTCAACAAAGACATTGCTCCGCTCACTGAGCCCTCTTATGACTGTCTGTCCTCCTCTACTCTACCTGCTGAGCATGGCCCTCACTGCCTGCCGTAATGCAACACAAACAAACTCCCACACTCTTCTCCTCATTTCCGTCCTGGTTGGCCCCCGAAAGATGAAGGGACTCTAGATGGGCTCGGCCAGGAAAAGCCTTTTTTCCATATTTCTTCTGAGGGAACACAGTAGCATAGGCGTCGCTGTTGTACACGGATGCATGATCTTCGGACCAGACTCTGCCGATTAATATGGCTCAAAGAGAGTGTTTAGTATTCACTTGAACAACAGTGGGTGTGGTTAGCGTTGTATTCTTGCTCTTTCCTCTCCATCAGTGTTGCGTGAGGAGAAAAAACTTCCAACAGATTTAAAAAGAAAAGCCCCCCGTAAACTGAATCCCTAGGACAAAACCCTCTGTACTCCTGGGCTCGGAGGATAAAATGGTTTTGCTAACAAAACTGAACTCAGCATATCTTTTTTTAAAAAAGAGAAAAAGAAGAAAAAACAGACTGAGCCAAACTATTTATAGCAATTTTGCCTCTTTTTCCTAAGATTAATTAGTGTGCCCACACATACACACACATACACACACACCACACTTCCAGTATCAGTTAGTGAAAGTGTGTGTGCACCTTTATCTTACACTTCAGTGTCCTGTTTTGATGGACAATGTGCAACTATTTTTCTTGATGCAGGCAGTGTAGTGTGACGCCCCCCCCCCCCCACCCCGTGTTTGTCACCATCACTTTTTTTTCTCCCCATAACACTAGTATATAAACGGAAATATTCAGAGACCTCAGCTACATTTCTGTTATATTTAGCTAAGGTGATGAGTAACTAGCTGTGAAAGTGTTAGTAATGCCAACAGTAGCTTGATATGGTTGAACCTTTTTATGAGGGCTCATCACACATTCAAAACAAAAAGGAAAAAAAAAAAACACCCACAGAACTTACAAGGGAGACTTGAACCTGCTTTCTGCCTTACAACGGTTCAGTGTGTTCTTTATGTCCATACATTAGCTGGAAATCTCTTGTTGTTATTGTACATAATAAAGGGGAAAATGTTGAGATACCTCTGACCAAATCCAGCAAGCAATCCTCCGAGTTGTGCTGAAAGACACTAATTTTGCTCTGGTGTCGACCGCTCCTGCACGTCTACACTGTTACTTATTAGATAAAGCACAATTTGGATTGCTAAAACCAGTCCTTACACAAGGCTACCAGGTTTTTTTGGTCTTATTATATATATTTACAGCTGATTTGTCAAAGACATTGACAAGTGCCGTGACTATTTAAAAAAAAAAGAGACAACAAAAAAAGTGGAATCATTGGGTTTTGAGGGAGCCCTGTGCGCCACTCGCAGTGTGCAGTCATTCAGTTTGCCAAGGAGCTGTAGGCATTCAGGCAAAGGCGCAGCACACAGCACTTGAATCACTGTTTGTCTTATATTTCATGTTGTGTTTTTCATTTTTCTGTCCGCTACACTTGTCTCGTCACATGTCAAACCCAGTGGAAGTGAATTTAAGGCCGTAAAACTGTCAATGTGGAAAATTCCCTGCACTTTGCCTGGAAATTGTGCCCTGTGTATTATTGATTGTTTTTGTTTTTTTTTTGTTTCTTGTCCTGGTCATTTCAATTAAGGTGGTCCAAATGTTCAGTACATTTCAATGGTTTGTCCTCACTAGTATTGATTTATAAAGGGTGTGGTTGTGAATGAACAACAGACATCCATGCCTCTGTTACTTGTTTTTCAGCACATGGAGTGTCTTCTTTTGATATACTTTTGTATTTGTTATTGCTGCTAAAAATTGCCATAACCTATGGACTTGTATTTGTACATGTGGTGTTTACCATAATGTGCTCATTCAGTTTCAGGTTTATCCACAGAGGGTTTTTTTTTTTATTATTTTAAAATCAAGTCTTAAATCTTGAAGGCTTTCTGTGTTGCCAACCCTTTTGACACCTGAGCACAAGATACAAAGCCCAAAGCTTGCTGCCATTTATTGGAATTAGCAGTTACAGTTATCACTAACGACATTTCTGTAAAGTTATCACACTTAAACACTCTATTAACAGCTGATCTGACCATATCACATGTATCATTGGGATGTATTATAGGATTAGTAAACGTAACCATTCGCTGGAGGTGCACAAAAAGGGCGAGCCGCTTTCAGCATCATCTAAGATTGGTGTCGGAAGTCTGATTGTCTGGGATTAATAACAGTGTGGTGGAGAAGGAAAGTATTCCTTTTAAATCAATTCACTAAAGGCCTTTTTTATCACCACCTACATGCAAGAAACCACCGCCTTGTGCAAACTCACAGTCCATCACTATCCACCTTGTAAAAAATATTGACTTGAACCTGAAAGACCTTAATCCTGTCGTGTGTGTGTCGCTCGAACAGCGTCTGTTCAAACACACACCTGAGCCATCACTCCTCTACTGTCTGACTTCTACACTGACCTTTGAGTCCAATATTTCAAACCCATTGGCTCGTCCCTGCTTGACCAAAGATAACCCACATAGATCTGCCCCAGCGCTGTGTTTACTCTCCTCTGCGATAACGGCCGTGCCACAAAACCACCACCTACCCCTTTTTTCTCTTTTAAATCGTGCCACCACTTACGTGAAGTATTTGCAGCAGTTTTGTGCGAGTATAAAAGGATGTGTGTATGTGCCTTTTTACACCAAGGCAAATAAAAACAAAAAAAACTAACATAAGATTTTCACAAGTTGGTAGTTTGATGGGTATTGCTTTTTTGTCACCTAGTGCAAGAGCAAATAAAAGTAATCAATGCTCTTTGTGAGCAGATCTCAGTATTATGTAAGAAAGCAATACAGGATCGTGTGAATTAAATTTCTGATGTTTTGTAAAGGGCCACACAATATTTATGTATCTTGTTTTTTTTCTGAATTTGTGATTTTTTTTGGGGGGGGGGGTTTGTTTTAGTTTTACTTGTGTAGAAGTATTCCCTTTTTTCAGTAGCGTGATGTAGTCTTTTTTTTTTTTTTTTGTAACATTCAGCACATTTCAAAAAGGTTTTAAAAATGGACCAGTAGTACGTCACACTGGGAACAGTCAGAACCCTGTAAAATGTATGTAAAGAGTGTTCATGAATGATTTAAGATTGTCTGTTTGTGTTGGACAAAGTATGAGAACTTGTGTGAGTAAATATGTGTTTGTGGGGCCAACACACCATTTCTGTCGAACTGGAGTGATTTTTACTGGAAGGCTGATTATCTTGATGACTGAGTAAAGCAAAGCATTGATCTGTGTAACCTATCTAGATGAATGAAGCCCTCCTTCAGGGATGAGCACTAGTGCCATACCATCCTTTTTGTTTTGTTTTTTATTTTATTTTCCCCCCTCAATTTGCTCTGTGGGTTAACAACCACAACCTCCCTGTTTTGATGTTTCAAAGTCACTAACAGTCCTTTCCTCTTTAAAATATACTAATTTGTTTTGCTGCTGAAAATGACAATCCCGCTTGTCATGTTAGGTGCAAAATGAATTCAAAGTAATATTCATTTTTAGTTTTGATAATTTACACTGCACAGATGTTTCTACAGTGCTTTTGTAAACATTTCTAGTGTATTTGCAAAAAAATAAAAGTTGCAGTCAAGTGCACAGTTCATATGTTCGTCTGCTGTCTTTTGTATAAACGGAGAAATAAATATAAATCAGTTTGTGGTAATCATACTGATATTCCAGAGGAACCTTTATAGCTTTATAATGTGTATGTTTAGGTGTAAGTTATTAGAAGCTAAACTGAATTCATAACACTGAAATATTGAATTTTTAAAAACCACCTATTTGAATATATGTGGTTTGAATTAGAGAGATTATGTCCAGTTTTATGGTTTTTAAATTTTTTTTTCCTTTATAAATTCAGATTTAGAAAAATCAGAATTGGTGTCCAGTATGAAAGATTAAAACTTGAACATGCAGGCTACAAGGGGTGATTAATTGATCAGGTCTCTCCTATCAGATTACTCTTATCAGTTATATGATCAAGTTCTGATAAACAACCCAGAAATGTAAATGTGTGGTAAAATGTTTTAAAATTGTAAAACTTGAAAGAAAGAATTCAAACCTCTATCGGATTTTTAAAGTAAAATATTTCAGTGCTATAAATCCATTGATTTATGAAGGAATAGTTTGACATATTGGGAAATACACACAATTCTGGTTAGCTTAGCTTAGCATATATACTAGTTGCCATCATGATAGTATAGATTAATCAAACAAGATATTACGTATTAATTAGTGATCTTTAGGGGTGTTGGTAGGCTATAGCTGTTCCCAGTTTTCATGCTAAGCTAATCAGTGTCTGACTGGCCTCTGTTTACATTTCACTCTGTGAGTTAGCAGGGGGTGAATTTTCCCCTCTAAAAGTCTCAGATGGATCTTTTAAGCATCGTATCAAAGCCCAAAGAGGTAAAATTATCCAATGTTTCACCAAAAAAGGATTAAATGAAAGTTTGAAAAACTAAAATGAATTTGTGTGTCAGTGTTCCTTCTTTCCTGCCACAAAAATCATCTCACAACTGCTCAGATTTGTCCGGTTTTCGTCCCAAGAGTACTTTTAATACTTCTACGCTGTACTTTTAAGGATCTGAATACTTTTTCCAACACTGGATTAAACAGACATGGTTTCTGAGATGAAAAATGCTTTCCAACTATGACTAAGCATTCAGTAAAAGGCCTTACAAGCGGCCCTGTGAATAACTGGACAAACAGACAAAGATTAAAGAGCAAGGACTTTTTTCTGGACTCACTTTTTGCATAAACAATTAATAAATTATGGAAATCCCTCTCTTTCAAACCTAACTCCGTACTCTCTTCACTGTTTCTCCCACATGTAAAACCTGCAGCCGAACTGTAGCAGGTTCAGGCAGGTTTTTAGGGAGTAGAAGAAGTCACACGTTTCCATCATTCATCTCTACCTGCAACAGAGATGGATCATCAACTCCCCAAGGGCTTCTTTAAAAGTGTACATAGCAGCAGTCTTTTTGTTTATTATTCTAACGCGTGGTTTCAGGGAAGTTATGTTCTCTCTGTTCGACCTCGTCTTAGAACTCGCATCATATGCCCTTGAGATGATTGTTTCAGGATCAACATGTACGCACATCCTAATTCAGTTTCCTGTGATTATTATTCACTTTTTTGGGACTTGATTGACCTTCAGTAGAAACAACGCTGTTGTCTGCTGACACTGTGACTCTTCTCTGCTTAATTCAAGGTTCATTTTGTTTAATATTTGCATTATTTTTTGTCTTACTTACTATCCTTTTCTTTAACAAAGTATTATTCTGCCAATAACTGTGTGATTTGGGTTAAATTATATACATTTGCAACAATTACTGCAAATTCAACCAGTTTCTGTGAATTCTGTGTGATTTTCTTTTCCACAAGTTTCACCAATGATTTAATAACTCACTGTGCAAAACGAGTCGTACGTCACCACACTACTAGCAATTTTATTCTCACGTTTTGAATCAATTATACAAAAACACTGTTTTTTTTAGAAAAGATGCTGAACAAAAAAAGCCTGTAAAATCACTTTTTGTTAATTTTCTTCATTGTTTGTCACATTTTTTATTAATTGCTTGTTTTTTTAACTGAAGAGCTGCTTCTTGTTATTTGCCAGATTCACAGGCCTTATTTATATATAATGTAACATTGAAGCTAATTGAGGAGACATTTATAAGAAATGTTGTCATATTAGAGCCCTCAGAACTGGGTGGTTTTTAAAAAGCATTCTGGGCAATGTGAAAAAAATCTCTTAAAGTAAAATTTGCAGGGTCAGGTGACATCAACACAATCCAGCTCCACAAATTTGTAAAATCTAACAGTGTCTGATTAATTATTCTCTTTAGAACCTGTAATGTTACTTGAAAGTGCAGTTAGGCCTGCAGACGATGACTAATCTATCACAGCGAGAGCTTCAAGATGCTCCAGTTGACCGAGAATCTTCCATTCAAATGTCTTCATTATGGTGGAGCTCCAGCAGCTTTAAAACTGTAAGACCACCTGCAGACAGCAAACAATAGATGCCCCCTCCTCCGATGCACTGGAAAAATAGGTCTAACTGTCTTCTTCTTTTGTCCCGCTTGTCACCAGTGTGTGAGTTTCTGCATTGGGGGTGGTGGCGGCTGGATGTGAAAAGCAGCAGAGGGGCAGACAGGCGGAAGCATGTTGGCCTCCATCTCTGGAGAAGCACCCTCAGTTTGTTATCACATGTTCTGAGTGTTGATGAGATGAGAGAAATATGCTTATTTGCTTTCTTACAGAGAGTTAGGTGTGAAGATTGATACTAATATTACTATAATAGCAGTCACAGGGGGAGGCATTTTTCTACATTTTACTTACTATACTTACATGGAAGACACTGAATCTTAACTTAAGCATAATTTTAAATGAAGTTTAACTTGAATTGTTACAGTGTATTAGTACTTTAAGTAAAGTAAAGAAGTAAAGATAAGTAAATGATCTGAGTACTCTCTCCATCACTGAATAATAATGAATAATAATCAGCAGGAAACGTGTCAGGCGATCTCAGACGTGCTCCAGTAAATAAGTTCTAGGACAAACTGTCCTCTGTGACTATTAAAACTATTATATATTATATGATTGGATAATTATTACCCATGTATTAATGTAAAAGCAGGATTTTACTGTTCCAATTGGATGAGCTGGAGCTGATTTTTAACTATTTTGTATAGCTCATTACTTTCTCCATTAATCAATTGACTGATTGGTTTGCCCATCATATGTGACCTCTTCACAGTGCTAACAGGATGGTTGTGTGCAAACTTTGCTCTTTAATCCAACCTGGTTTAAACAGCACGCAGCTCTGGACATGTTTTAATATCCACCCACTTGAAAGATTATCATTTGAAAGGAAAACTACTGTCCCAACCACAGACGCTGATAGGGAGACAATGCAGTTAAAACCTCAAGAATTTCCATTTTCTGTTGCTGCAGCTCAGATTCAGGCTGTAGTGCCTTCAGAAATCCCAGTTAGCCTCTGTTTGTTTTGCTCTGTTGTTATTTTCCTAATGACTAACACTCTTAGCCAATTCTTGTGGATAATTATTAGGTTTCTAATTACAGTGTTCCTTTTTTTTTTTTTTTTGTTGTATCAATTCTTAGTGCTGGGCTCCTGCTTGGTTGTACAACTTGGTGTCATATTGATGCTCAGTACTAACTCCAAGTTGTACTGAATGGTCTTTTGTGGCCCCTGCTGGTGACTCTGAAAACCGATCTGACCGGCAAGGAAGGATAATACACAACACAACACAATATTGTTAATAATTTGACATGAGATGTTTAAAGAAAAAACAAAATAACAAATTATTACCTGAATATGTGCAGAGGTTGTTGATGTTGAGGTAATTTAAATAAAATGTTGTTTTATATTTCAGTATGTGGACTTATTTGTTAAATTAAATAAGGTATTGTCTTGTTACTTAATTTAAGAAATTATATTAGATGATTAATTTCCGTTGATTGTCAAAAAATAAAAACTGTTTTAATAACCGATTAATAATTTAAGTCATTCATCAACAAATGTCAAACACTCACTTGTTCTCACTTGGGAAATGTTAAAAAAAAAATGTCACTACCCCCCGACATTTTATAAACAGAGTGATAAATTGACTAGTTGGGAGAATAATTAGCGGATTAATCAATAATTAAAATATATTTTAGTTGCAGCCTTGCATTATTGTATTGTATTGTATATTTGATATGGACACTTAAATCAGTTAAGGAATTAAAAAATAAATTATGAATGAATAGTTGCTTACTGTATGCAAAAGCAGACTTAACAAAACCAAAAGGAGACAATTATTCTATTATTTTAGTATATTAACTTTTAGTAACTATTTATTAAGTGGGGAGACATTTATAGGAAACATTGGGTAAATATTAGGGTATAGTAATAAATGCTCTGTGGTCCTACAACCGGAGATTTTCCAAAGGCCTTCTGTGAAAATATACAGTATATAGTTAAGATAGTCAAGTTATTTTTTCTCCTATATACCACTTTTTAATCAGTTACTGTTCTGTACATTGTAATTCATAAACATCACTGACCTAAAAAACAGACAAATTTGAAGGTATTTTATTTTTGAAGACGTGATTACGGTAAACATTTTACATGAGCACACTAAAAAAAACATACAATAAAATGTACATTTTACACACAGCAACATTTTACACATGCACACACTGCACAATGTGGGAGTTTATCTTACAACAGAAGAAGAAGGCCTAACTAACTAAATGTAAAACACATCTTTGCCTTCATATATTAACAGAACAGTTCAACATTTTGGTTGTTATTTGCTTTATTGCTGATAGTGAGATGGGACGATTGATACCACGTGTTAAATATGAAGCTAGCTTAGCTTAGCATAAAAACCACAGTGGATTAAACATATAATAAAATATCATGTTAATTAGTGAGATTTATAGGTGTTTCCCTGTTTCTTTGTGCTAAGCCAAGCTAACCGTCTACTGGCTCCAGCTTCATATTGAACACACATATATGCGAGTGGTATCAATCTTCTCATCTAACTCTCGGCAAGACAGCAAATTATCTATTCCCTTAAAACACTGGGCTTCAAAGCAACATTAATAAGCAAACCCTAAAAGTCAAGAGTTCTCCGTTCTGGACAAGGTGAGGGTTCGTATCCCACCTGAGATGAAGAAGGACTCCAATACATCGTTGGCAGTTGACACAAAACATCAACAGTGCAAACTAGAATTAACTTCATCTCTAGAAGTTAAAACACTTCTACTGCTAAGGCACCAACAACATTAAGTTGCAAATAATTAGTGCAACAGATGTAGAGCTGCACAATTATTCATTGTTTTATCATATTTAACTTTTGTTTAGTTTCTGGTTTCTATAAAGGGTTTAGGAGGAGTATAGGTATTCACATGTGGATGAAAGGCTATCAGGAATCAGTACTGATGAACAGAGCAATGTCTGCACAATGACTCATTCATTCAGAGGCCAAATAACAGAAAAACTCCTCCCTGAGATACAGTGTCAGAGAGCAGATTAGAGGAGGTGACATTATGTAGACTCTACATTGTAGAGTATTACATCTTTACACTTTATAACAAGAGGCCCAAACATGAAATAAACTTTTCTGGTAATTTTAGATCTTGTTTGGGTTTACTGCTTTGATATAACTTGATGTCAACAATATCTAAACATTATCGTGTTAAAAATTCTCAAATGCGACATTTTCTTGTCTGAGCATTATAGTAAATGAAATATTTTTAGGTTTTAACCACTTTATCACTAAAATACCGTAATGTAACAGTAACAGTTTTCTGATGTTTTATACCAAACAAGACAAGAAAATAACTCACAGATGAATCAATTATGAATATAATTGCTAGTTGCTGCCCTAATATGAATGGAGATTTTCCAGTGAAATATGTTTTTTTTAATGTAATTTACAACTTTATTTGTTATTGGATATATTTGAGATATTACACTAATTTTTTAATGCATTATTGTCTCTGTACTCCCACCCTTTAGGACTGATGCTCTTTAATTTTGTCCTTCTTGAACTGTTAATCGTTCACCCTGGGCAGGTTGGATGGTTAACCACTGTCATCATAGAGCCTGTTAATCTATCAATATATTTATGGGTGTAGAAACCATTTTAAAAATCCAATTGGGATTGAAACGTTGGAGAGTGTGCAGGTGTTACTCTTTTCATAATCATGTTAAAAATAAAGATAGATACAGATTTAAAAATGTCCTCGTAATAACTGTGATCACAGTATCTAATATTATTAAATAATCATGCTGCCTAAACCTGATTTTTATTCTAATTTAATACGAGACAAAACGTTTGTCCGTGCAGCTGTGTTTCACCTATTCTGCCTCAGTGGATAAAATGCAAAATGAACACTCACAGTCAAATAGCCTGAACTCTAACCTCTTCCTAATCCCCTGTGATCCACGCTGCTGTTGCTCAGCAGCATCCTACGTCTTAATGTGCGTCATTAAAGCAGCTTGCATTGGCTGCGTCACCCCGCCCTCCCCTCTGCCGCCTGTCTGCCTGGCCAGGAGTCTGAGCTGAGGTTGCTCTCTGTTTTCAGTCTCTCTTTCTCTATCCCTGTTCAAATGTTGGGGTCTCCTTCCAGCTTGGTGAGGTCATTGACTGTGCCCATGAACATGCTGCGTCCTCGCTCCAGTCGGCTCTTCTTGTCCGTGAGGCGGAAGGCCTCCATGAACTCGTCAATGTCGATGCTGCCGTCCTGGTTGCTGTCGATGGTGACGGCCAGGTCGGAGATGGCCTCGTCCGTGATCTCCATCTTCAGGTAGACGCTCAGCAGCTTCCAGGTCTGCCGGAAGTCCTCAATGGTGATGAAGCCTGGGGAGGTGAAAGGTTAAAGATGCAGTGTTGAAAAGAAGAGATAACAGATGGACGGGGTGGAAAAAGTTAAGGGCTAACGAGGGTAAAAATAAGCAGAAATATAGGCAGAGACTGATGGAGTAAAAAGTGTGTGTGTGATCAGATGTGGGGGTGGAGAGACCAGTAGATCAGTGGGTTAATCCTCGTCTTAACTGCAAGGATTCTGGAGGCAGCAACATGCTGTGGCCTCTTTTTCACACTACAGGTGGATTAACGAAGGCTGAACTCGATAGACGTCGCTATCTGGACACAACAAATACTTTACAGAGCCCTGACACACTTTATGCCTCCACAGACTGGCTCCTGTTGGATTGTCTCTGTGAGTTTTGTACAGTTACATTTAATTATAAAGATATTGAATAAAATGGGAGACTTCCACAAAATGGGGGACTCATAAGCAACACATTAAAAAAAGAGGTTGAGATATCCGGATGTTTAGTCCTTTGTATCGGTCAAGCTCCAAAAACACTGGATCCTACACTTCCCATAATGCAACCTGATACTATATCATATTTCAGTAGACAGAAAATTAATCAACAACTATTTTGAATATGAATATACTGAACTTCATGTGTAAAATCAGTGAATTTCCCCTTTATGACATCCAAATAATTATGTTCCTTCTTTATTTGGTATAATTATTATAAGCTTATTGGCGCTGTATTGCGGAGGTAAACAGACAGCATCCAATCAAGTTGTAAAAGAGAACCATGAAGTTCTAACACTTTGATGTTACTTAGCGTCAGTTGGAAAAGATGATACCAAAGAACATTTTGTTTTGTTAGTTTAGAGGTATAGACTTTACTTTGGACTTGAGAACAGAAACTTGAGATTCAACTAGTGACTTCTCTCTCTCTCTCTGCCGCCCTGTTTGTCTCTCTGTTTTCTTTCATTGTGTTTGTATTCACATGTCTCTTCTTTGGCCAAATTATTTGATTATGATTTTGGTCACGTGTTTTACTTCTCTTAAACTTCTACAATGGCTTTTTCCCTACACAATTATTTGATGTTCATTTAAAAAGTCTTGAAAAATTCTTGATTTCTGCGGCACAGGTGGTAAAACCTGATATTTCATCTTTACTTAATGTCATGTCCCTAATAATACGCCAGCAAATAACAAAATGGACCAAGAATCAGATGGCCAATTACAGTTTTTTCCAATTGCTAACACACTAAAATGACATGCATAGCACAATTATTTAAACTGACACACAGAGCAAAACCTCTTCTCAAGTCTCCAAAACGCTAAACACATTTTCTGCTTCACACATTTTGCAATTCAAAATGGCACTTTTTAAATGCACTGAACACGGTTCTCTGCATAAGACACAACAATCTGACATAAAATCACATGTTTGCCATTTCAAAACACTGCCATTCAAAATGACACTACATGAGCTAATTGGCCAATATATGTGCCACCTGGCCAAACACCTCAATGGTTAATTGTTACCACTTCAATCAGGAAGTAAGCACTATAAAAAGACCACAGGTGAGCACCTTTTTTAATATATTTTCCTGAACATTTTTTCAGCAATTTTCTTTTTCAGTTTACTGTTTTTTGTGGGCATATTTTTATTCACTCCAATGTAAATATATCTGCTGTGCATATGTTGCACTGACTTGTTTGGTGAAAAATAAAAATATAAATGTTTCAACAGCATGTGTGCGTATCTGCAAATATATCTGTGCATGTGAACAATCTGAAGAATTTTCTCAATTTGAACTATTAAAGTATTATGGCAAAGCATACTAAAGATGAGAGTGCTTTTCATTATGCCCAACAGTGTGTAGTTGGTTAGACAAAAATCTGGTAATATGAATGAAGTGTGTGCCATTTGGTGCAAAAGTTTGATTTTGATAATGCAATATGTAGTTTTGGTTGCAGAGCCTCATTTTGCAGGATATATGAGGTATTTTGCAGTTTGGGTGTGTGGTTTTGTAAATTGTGGTAAGTATTTTGATAAAACCAGCCTAGTTTGCAAAATTGTGTTTTAACAATTGGAAAAAACTGTAACATTTTAAGGTGGATTGTCCCTTAGGGAGGCGAGAGAACAACAAAATATGCTCTCCATTAAAAAGAGAAAGAAGCCAGTGGTGTGAATAGATGTTCACAGTAAACATGTGACTTGTTTCAGTGATGAATAAATAGTTTTACCTGAGTTGTCTGTGTCTACGATTCTGAAGATGGTCTCCACCGTGGAGCGGTGGCGGTACAAAGTCTCAAGCAGACTCTGGTCGATGTGCTGCAAGAGGAGAAATAATGATAAACCATGTGAGAAAAAAAAGAGAGCTTTTATTTTTATGTAGACAGCATTTAATTATGTGACACAGTAGAAGTTTTAGCAAAAGCTATGTATATACAATAGCCTCAAATTTATACAAAATATGAGAATCAGACACTGTATTTCTGTGACCACCATCTATCTCCAGCTCAGTGCTGTGTCCTTACGTCCGTGTTGGGTCCTTTGATGGCGAGCTCGTTAAACCACTCTAGGTAGTCGATCATGCCGTCTGTGCTCTTGGAGGTGACTAGCTGACCGCGCAGCATCCTCCAGGGCACACCGAGGTACATCACACTCTCCACTGCAGAGGCCCAGTTGTTCAGAGACACAAGACCTGATGAAGGTGGAGATTTCACACGTTATCTGATTTCTATTATGACACTAGATTTCAGACAAATTCGCATTCATTGGTCCCTCGCACAATCCAATCAGGTCAATGAACGACTTCAAAAATCAACTCCGACCCAACCAATACATTAGCAGGTCAACATTATGGCCAATATTCACTAGTATATATTAGTGTTGAGTTGAATGACGAATTCCTTTCACATTATGTACTTGACAGACAAGGGTGCTGGCTGGATTAAAGTAGATCACTGTTTAGCTCCGTTTAGTTTCTGTGAAACTGTCAAATGTTCTGGATGGTGCCACATGTTTTTATCTGAAAGGGGATTAAAATGTTCCACACAAAATACAAAAGTGGGAGCTCATATTTCTCCCCAGCCAGACATTGTCCTTTGAGAACTGCAAGGGGAAAAACACAAGAGATCTGTAATAAAACACCTGATCTGTTAAGGACTGAATTGGTTTATGAAAATCACACTACACACCTGTGTTCTCACTGTCAAACTTTTTGAAGGCACAGATGAGGTCAGATTTGTGCGCAAATAGCTGCTCCCGCAGGACTTTGAGTGCTGAGCGCTCGGTTCGCCCAACACTGTAGACAAGATGATGACAAACACAACAGATAATGAATTAAACTAATTAAATTCAAGGCAGAACAATGTAGAGAACAATGCTGTTTTATCAGAAAAGGCAAAACTGTGCCATTAAACATTCAGTTGTTGTCAGTAAAGGTTCTTGTCTAACACAGTAACAGTTGTAAAAGTAGAAAAATAAAAGAGTAGATACGTTGTATACACATATTTGTGTCATGTGGAAGGTGGGGTTAATGTTTACCTTTGTTTTACGGTGAGCTCTCTGGTCATGCTGCTGGCCTGGTACTGAACCAAATAAGGCACAAGGTCTGGACCCAGCTTCACGTAGGCCCCTCGGTTGCTTCCCACATCGTAGTAATTGGAGGCAGAGAATAGAGTGAGAACCTGAGTGAAATGAGAGAGAGGGTTAATGTTGTCTAACAGCTCCTCAAAACGGAGCTGGAAAACTATTGGGTTCAGGAAGTGAACTGCGAAAACATCAGAGCCGCTGTGGGCTGTCAGTGTCTGAGCTCACCTTACGGTTGTGGCAGAACTCATAACCATCCTGTTTGCACTCGTGGGAGCGGATGATGAGTTGCAGGTTGTGTCTGTTCAGGAAGTCCTCTGTGACATCGGGGCCCCAGTAGCAGCCTCCGCCCCGCACCTCGTTGGGTGTGCAGCCATCCTGGATCATCGGGTCGCTCCACAGCAGGTCCAGGATCTGAAGGCACACAGGAATGACAGGAGATTTAATTTTAAAGGATTCAAGTGAAAACCTTGAAAAAACACACCACAAGGTCTATTGGTAGCTATTCTGGACATTTCAATCATATCACACTGTCTTCCTGTTTCCAAGGGGTCAATAATTAACTTTAAATCACAACTTTTATGACAAAATGTACAAGAAAACTTTAAGGTGCTCAGTTGGAAATGAGAATTTGAACATCTACAATTTTATGACAACTGGGAAAACTGGTGGATAGAGTTCCAATAAATTTAGTTTTGACATTAATGCTTCTCAGAGCATGAATCCACCTGACTTTAATGATCCCCTGACTCATCCTTTAGAGCCACCATGAGGTTCACATTTGTATTTCTGAGTGAAATGTTTCAACAACTGGATGGATTACTATGAAATGTGGTCCACACATTCATGTCCCACTCAGAATGATTTTTGAAAGGTGATTCCTTAACGTTCCATCTAGCGCTATCATCAGGTCAAAATTTGAATCATTCCAATACTTTGGCTAGAAGTAATGACATCCCCATCTTCCTCAGCTGCAGGTTGAGTTTAGTGCTAATTAGCAAATGCTAGCATGCTAACATGGGAACTATTATACTTGCTGAACATTAGCATATTGACGTAAGCATTTAACATAAAGTAGAGCTGTAAACTTTAAGTCTTATTTGATATTGGCACACTGTTTAATGGCTGATTTTTTACTGGGAGAGCAAAAAATATTTCTATTATCTGAATTCTAGTCTAAAAGTGCTACAATTAAAACCACTTAAATATATAAAATAATGTCTTGGGATGTAAGTTATTCTGCTGTTTCTTCTGTTTTCAGTGCTTTAATGCATACAAACATCTGAGAGCATCACTTTACAATTCAGACAATTCATGAAGTTACCCTCATGTTGTTGAGTCATTTACAGTGATTGAACATTGGATTGGTTTGGACATATCACCAACAAGTACCAGAGCCAAATGAGGCCATTGACTTCTACAGCCTGTGCGTACGTTGGTGACGGCCAGTCTGAAAAGCAGATTGAACTCACGGCATGAGGGATTAATGATGCGATGGATTACGGCATGTTGAGGCCCACGCAGGAAACAATCCTCAGCACCTCCTCTGAGGTGAGTGTTGTTCACTGATGGAGCGTTTATCAGCCTGTGACTCAGGACTGATTTAGTCCACTAGAACAGAGCTGAGGCACGAAAACCATGACCTCTGATCAAAGTAACTTATTTTTTGATAAAGTCTTTTTTGATAGAAAGTATTTACATATCACGTTTATCACATGAACTGGCTTACAGAGCAAAAACAATACAGAATGCTGACTTTCAATTCTAAATGAGAGATCCTTCAGCACTGACACCACCTATAATAAAATAAAAACTATAAAACTATTAAGGTTGTGTTGTGTGTGTGTGTGAATACAAGATAAAGTAAATAAAAGTGATTCAAAACAATATTGAGTTGGTTATGAACCCATCATGAGTACAGTGCACAAAAGTTTACATACACTTGTAAAGAACATAATGTCATGGCCGTCTTGAGTTTCCAATAATTTCTACAACTCTTATTTTTGTGTGATAGAGTGATTGGAACACATACTTCTTTGTCACAAAAATCATTCATGGAGTTTGGTTCTTTTATGAATTTATTATGAGTCTACTGAAAATGTGACCAAATCAGCTGGGTCAAAAATATACATACAGCAACATGAATTATCAATTTTGGTTATGTAGAAAGTTGTGTCAATTAAATTAGCTTCATGGCATGGCCTCTTAACTTCTTGTGAGTGATTATGATTGACTACAACTGGTGACTTCACTGAGTCCATTTAAAAAGCGCTCATTTGATACAATCATTAGACTCAGCCACAAACGCTTCAATGGTAAAGTCAAAGGAGCTCAGCACGGATCTGAACAAGCAAATCATTGACTTGAACAAGTCAGGAAAGTCACTTGGAGCCATTTCAAAGCAGCTACAGGTCCCAAGAGCAACTGTGCAAACAATTGTTTGTAAGTATAAAGTGCATGGAACAGTTGTGTCACTGCCACGATCGGGAAGAAAACGCAAGCTATCACCTGCTTCTGAGAGAAAATTGGTCTGAAAAGAGTCAACCGAGAACCACCAAAAAGCAGGTCTGCAATGCATTACAAGCTGCTGGAACACAGGTGTCAGTGTCCACAGTCAAGCGTGTTCTACATCGCCATGGACTGAGAGGCTGCCGTGCAAGAAGGAAGCCCTTGCTCCAGAAGCGGCACCTTAAGGCTCGACTGAAGTTTGCTGCTGATCACATGGACAAAGATAAGACGTTCTGGAGGAAAGTTCTGTGGTCGGATGAAACAAAAATTGAGCTGTTTGGCCACAATGCCCAGCAATATGTTTGGAGGAGAAAAGGTGAGGCCTTTAATCCCAAGAACACCATGCCTACCGTCAAGCATGGTGGTGGTAGTGTTATGCTCTGGGCCTGTTTTGCTGCCAATGGAACTGGTGCTTTACAGAGAGTAAATGGGATAATGAAGAAGGAGGATTACCTCCAAGTTCTTCAGGATAACCTAAAATCATCAGCCTGAAGGTTGGGTCTTGGGCGCAGTTGGGTGTTCCAACAGGACAATGACCCCAAACAAACATCAAAAGTGGTAATGGAATGGCTAAATCAGGCTAAAATTAAGGTTTTAGAATGGCCTTCCCAAAGTCCTGACTTAAACCTCATCGAGAACATGTGGACAATGCTGAAGAAACAAGTCCATGTCAGAAAGCCAAAACAATTTAGCTGAACTGCACTGATTCTGTCAAGAAGAGTGGTCAAAGATTCAACCAGAAGCTTGCCAGAAGCTTGTGGATGGCTACCAAAAGCACCTAATTGAAGTGAAAATGGCCAAGGGACATGTAACCAAATATTAGCATTGCTATTTTTGACCCAGCAGATTTGGTCACATTTTCAGTAGACCCATAATAAATTTATATAAGAACCAAACTTCATGAATGTTTTTTGTGACAAAGAAGTATGTGTTCCAATCACTCTATCACAGAAAAATAAGAGTTGTAGAAATTATTGGAAACTCAAGACGGCCATGACTTTATGTTCTTTACAAGTGTATGTAAACTTTTGACCACAACTGTACATATTTCCTTTCATTGTTTTTTTTTTTTTTTTTTTGCTATTTAACTTGGGATCATACAAAGAATAAGCAATATATTATGAAGCTGAGAAAAACAAATTAAATGGGAAAGAAAACCGCCTCAAAGTATCTGACCTGTTTCCACTCATCCTTGGCATTGTCGCTGTTGATGGATTCAGAAGACACAGACTGAGTCATCCCTTCAGAACTGTTGGTCCCCATGTTTAAAATGGCCAGCTTCCTCTTGTGGATCTCTATCTCATCCACGGCCTTCCCTTTGATCCGGTTGGAGAAGTCCTGCAGGGAGCGGTTCTGGAAGCTTTCACGGGTTCCAAGGGGTTTGGGATACGTAAGGGAGATCCGACGCTGTAAGAGCTTGTTGGTGGACAAGACGTCCTCATCAAAGTCCGAGTCAATGGACGCCCCCGCTGAGCTCTGATGTCTCTTCTTTGGAGGCCTCAGCGCTGAAACATACTGGGAAAAACATGCAAGAGCACAGACTTGAATGAATATCTGTGTTTGAGTGTCAATGGAAGTTTATCACAGCTGCACATGTTGTCTCCTCACATTGTGTCTGTCCAGTCGGGCGAGGATGCTGAGGTCTGTGATGTCGGAGATCCCTCCGTGGAGTACCAGCACCTTCTGGTCAATAACCGTTGCTAATGGCAACCAGCTGAATATCTTCTGCAGCAGCTTCAGGATCCGTTTGCCGTGCATCTGAGGAGATAAACAGGAACAAACAGGAAATTACTTTCTTCATCAACCTTTTTTCAAAGTTTGTTGTCAACATTTAAGGTTTCTTTTCTTTTCTGAGTGAATGAATGAATTTTAACATTATATTATACAGAAAATTACATTTTCTACAGTTTTACATTTCCTACCCAATATTTCATTACATTTACATTATTTAATTGTACTCTATGGATCTCAAGATATATTTTTGATGTATATATCTTTGATCTTTGATATATACGTCAAATTAGTGTTGATAGTTTGCAAGAATTTCTTCCATTTATCTAAACAAATTCAGGAAGAAAGGAGAGTAAAGGAGGGTGGGTCTTTGGACCACCTCGCCCTCCCTGACTCATCAAAGGCTAACAGAGCCAGATGTCCTTCAGTTATCTGGTGTAATGACATCAAATCCTCTTAGCCATGAGTAGTGACCAGTGTTGTATCGACCTATATTAAGCTTAGCTTGGAATGTGTAGGCGCAGGTGACTGAAACCATTTTAATTTGCTGCAAAGACAGTTGGGATTAGGACACAATTTGGCTGTGCTGACTGGTTTGATAAGCAGAGATAAGGAGTTAATACCAAGCAGCAAAAAAAAGGAAAAAGGAGTGTGTTGAGTTTCAGGTTTACATTGTATAAACCTACCTTGTATTTAGTCAACACCTCTTTTGTGAAGCCGTACCTACATCAGCCAGAGAAACACAAGATGAGAGTAAGAAATTTAGGTTTTTGATTATAACTGAAGAATTTGAACAAGAAGAACGTGTGTTTTTGGACTTCACTGTCCCTAGGTAGATTTAGTTTTACCTGAGGTTGACTATATGGTCCTCATGGTTTCCTCTGTTGAGGTGGACTTCACTCGGGTAGACAAGCAGGAATGAAAACAGAATGATGAGGATCTCAATGGAGTCTTTGCCTCGGTCTACAAAGTCTCCATTAAACACATAGGGCTTCTCTAAGGAAGGCATGCCATTCTGTAGAGTAAACAACAGCAAGATAAAGCCTCGTTAGATTCATGGTTGGTTATTCAAAACATAAATAATCAGCAACAATTTTTATAAGTGCTTAGTCTTGCAAGTTAAAGTTAAATAAAAAAAGTCAAACATTCAGAACACAGAATTTACTGTTTGTCTCCATTTCATATCATTCAAAACTGTATATTTTTTATTTTTTTGACTGGCGTTTTATTTTTTATTTTTTTATTGGCACTTTGTAAACTAAACAATCAAGTTTGAAAACTTTTAAATGAAACAATAATCAACAGATTAATTAATGATGAAAATAATTATTCTTTGTTGCACTACAGATTTACTTTAGGGCCCTGAAGTACATGAGGAGAGTATAATAATAAAATCAGAGCATTTGAACAAATTCAATAAAAAAGGCTATCTGTAGATATCTTTCTAAAATGAATAACTACAGTTCATAAGCTAAAAACATATGCTGTATGTCAGGGTTATTTCAGCATTTGTAAAAGATTTTAGAAGAGGAGGTCCCAACCTTGTAGAAAATTAGCAACAGATCTTCCAGTTGCCCGTGCAAATCACCTGTAATGAAGAGGATATACGTACATTAATCAACACAGTTCATTAACTGGCAGAAAGAACTTACTTTTACGACAGAGAGGCTCTTGTTGTATATTATCAGAAAACCTTTTGGGATGTGCTGCTGCCTCAAGGGTTTAATATAAGGGCTGCATAGACGATTTTATTTGTCAACAATTAGGTCTGACAAAAATATCAGATATTTGGGTTTATAATATGGAGAAAGAGCATAATTTGACATATAAACATAAAACGAACAATCCAGCAAATGTTCACAAGACTTTTAGGCATTTTGCTACAAGAAGTTACTATTAAGTTACTATTACTTTACTAAATTATGAATCAATTGTCCAAATTGTTGCTTATTCATTTTCTGTCATTAGTTTCAGCTCTGTTTCAGTTCAAGACTGGCTGAGGACCTTGGTCACAATAACATCCCCAATTTTTCTACCCTAATTTTTCTAAAAATCAACAATTTCTTTCAGCTCACCACAAATAGTGATTTCTTTGCTTTGGCAGGTGGAGATGCGGCTGATATTTGGCAACATCCGGAGCTGTCTCCATGTCTCCAGCAGGAGCTGCAGGACGTAGCGTGAGTGCAGCTGCTACTGGGAGAGAGACTGGTTAGCAAGACGGTTTCAAGCACGAAACACATGAACAGGTGGTAATACTGCAGTGATTGCTGTGATATTGTGATTTATGCATGAATGATTTACTAAAATAAACTATTAATAGATTTGAAGACAAGTGAAATTATTATGTTAGAGTCCAGATTAGCAGCACTGGCTTAATTTGGATGTTTTTAAAAATGGATGTGTTGTGGAGCTGGAATGATAAAATCTTTAGGCCTCAATCATCCACAGTACAAATATTATTTGCCTTCGTAGAGTAAATTTCTTTTTTATCTGAAATATTATTATCTGGCTATACAGCTTTTCAAACTTAGTCTGTTGGCCAAAGGTCACAATAAGTCACATTAAAATGTAATTTCTTCATATAATGTATATGTATAATATCAGGATGTCAAATGCGGGTTATGTTATTTCTGTGAAATACAAAATAATTTCCACCTCCTTTTTCTGCTATGCTAAAAACAACGAAATTGAGCTGTAGAACCAACATAAACCGCGCCAAAGGTTTCTAGAGACTGGAGTGTAAAGCAGAGGTGTGCACCTACTTTCTTGTTCCTGAAGGCCTCCACCAACCCAACTGCCTGCTCCACCGTCAGAGGGAAGGTGAGGTGAGGTCCTGAGTAAATCTCTGGCACCTCAATGTTCTTGTAGCAGAAGTACCTCTCCCACTCTGCGTCCTGACAAACCTCGTTCTCTCGGAAGATGTGCGAGATCAGATTTCCTGGAGGGAAGGTCAAAATCTGTCAAACACAGAGGTCCAGTTTTACAGAAGGAAAATGTAGTTTGCCAGTCGAAATGGAAATCTTACGTTCATTGCTTGATGGTGTGAAATTGTCCATGAGGTAGCCGAGGAAATTATAAAGCTGCACAGGGAGGAGAGGTGAAAGATGATATTATCTCATTTACAGGATACAAACAGAAGTATACTGGATCATCTAAATCCAGTTTCTCACCTTTATCTGAGCCTGTTCTCCAGAGTATTCGATGGACTGGAAGATGTGCCAGGTGTATCTCCGTCTCATCTCTGTGCGGGCTACATACTGACGGTACCATCGCTGAATCAGCACAGCAGCTCTTATAGCTGGAACACAAGAGAACAGACGACAGGTGATCAGAAAACATCTCACTACAGAGGGGACATACGCACTGGTAATTTGACAGCTGTAGTAATTTTTCAGATCAATAATAGTAAATATAATCAACAAATAACTTATAATTGGTTAAGATAAGAGTTTATATGTATAAACGGTAATTAAAATGAAAATGTACCGTCTGCAAAATGAATACTGATGTACATATTAATGCGGATAATAATTCATATATCATAATAATCCAATAATATAATATACATTATTGAAAATAAAATACTATACTACTAAATATACTAATACTTAGTTTTATATCTGTTGATTCAAAGAAATTGTATGTGTTATATTTATTCTCTGGCTTCCTTAACTGGTGAGAACTTTATAGTGTAGACAAAAAAAAACGATAGAAAGGGCTTACTTGTGACGGCTGCATGCAGCAGAGGAGGAAGACGAAGAGAAATACATATACATTAATACAACACGTATGATGGAGAGATTACAGTTATAATGTAAGCAGACAAAAACAAGGCAGACAACAAGAACCACTGAGCTTCTCTGTCTAGGTGTGGTGATGATTAATATAAATCTGTGAAGGTTGAGAGAGATGAACAGTGTCTGTCTGGAGGATCATGGTTACCTTTTCTCGAGTGTTTGTTGAACTGGTTAGACTTTGTGACACCACATCCCATGACTGTTCCTGTTCAAAGCACCAAACAAACAACACGTCAGCTAAAAGTGATTCCAATACTTAAAAAAAGTATAAATATCGGTCATTTGTCTACTAGATTTAATATATGGGCATGTATTTAACAAACTGTTCAAATACTACAACATGGAATCCTGAACTGCTTTCGTAAAGGTATGTATGACTTTTGGAGTCACTGTCAATACATTTTCACTTCTACACACACATTTTAAAATAATTCTGCTAATGTCCAGACCTGTAAGAAACCCTTTTATTCATGGAGGAAGTTGCTTGGCAGCCGCAGGAGTACCGCTCGACTTTGTGCCCTTTTAATCTCGTTATCTGCTGGTTCACTTGTAACCTCTGTCATTGGCCTCAATCCTGCAGCAGATGTCTGTTTTGGTCTGAATTCTACGAAGGCTTACATATAATATGTAATCTATAATCTAAATAAAGGGAATATCTACAGAAATTGTTTTGCTGACAAGGAAAAAACTGAGTGGTGGAAACAGCAATTTCAAACGTCCCTGTGTTGTTTTCGGTAAACAAATGGTGCCCGAATTATTGTTTACAATTTACAAAACACAATAAAAGATTGAAATCTGAATCTGAACTTGGTAGATTTCATCAAATTGTGTTGGCAAATAACTGTCTTGTTTTGCGGTGCTGATTCTGGCCTACTTAAAGGAACAGATGGGTGGCTTTCGTCACCAGTAAAGATATTTAGCAGTAGGCCAAAATCACCCAATCGGAGGAGGTTTTCTGATCAAAATCAAAAACTGGACTACAGAACAAACCTGGCATTTTAAGTGGACTGACAAAGACCTTGAGAAGTACTTTTTTACAATTATTTGAACCAGGTCTGGAACATGAAGAAGTTTCAGACCAAAACTGAGACTTATGGCATCTGTCTGCTCATTTTGGAGTTTTATTAACTTATTTAAAAGTTACTCTACAATGACATCTTTAAATCGTCCGTTTACTTACGTGCTCACCTCCTCTGTCCAGTCACCAGTTCCCAAGTTGTTTGACTGCCAGTTCTCAGTTTCAATGCGTATTTAAACAGCCATTTGCTGTGTTTCATCCTCCAGCAGTCCACCAGGATCAGGTCGAGAACTGCAGGGTGTCCATCAGATGGCTCATTGTAGGTGGTTGAATGACAGCAGCACCCAGTTATTCACCACAGAGGCCTCATGTACAAAACTATCCCCACTGTGCAGCTCCCTCAGACTGTGCTGAAGCCGGTTTAGTCTTTAGTCCCACAGTGTGATCGCATAATCAAGGCACCGAGCCACAAGTGGATTACTTCAGCTAATGACTTGATGCGACTTGACTGGTCTTTATATAGGAAGATGGCAAAGTGCAGAGGTAAACATAGGTGGCAAGAGGGAGGCCGGCATCTGTTTTTGGCACCAGTCTGGTGTCACAGGACGTCGTTTTTGGAAGTGTTTTGGATTACAGGTGCTTTTTTTGGAGTCCAGGATTATGTGTGCGTGTATGGTCTGGCTTTTGGACCAAAACTCAAACACATCTTCAACAGGAACTTTTCTCTTATGAAATCTTACCCAAGGATGAGCTGAATGAGAATCAGTTTTTTGGATCCCTTAAATGTTCTTCCCCAATGTAAACCCAATAAAAAGTTCAATAGACTTAATAAAATCAGTTGTTCCATATTCGAAACACACAAGTAACCTTTTACCCTGATAGGTAGTAATATAGATATCCCTTAGGTCACTGGTTCCCCAGTGGGGGTCACCAAAGCGTCACACGGGGTCACAAGGACTTCTTGATTTCAAGGAGTGTAGGAAAACTTTAAAACTATTACGGCATTTCATTCATTTCTAAAAAGAAAACTAAAATAAATTGTTATTTTTAAAGTTTAGATTATTATTCAAGATATAAACCTCAAAATATTGACAGGATAAGGGCACGGTGAAGACCTGAACGTGAGCTATACTCACAGATCAGGCTGTGTAATGGGAAGAGAATCTGGTGATAGTGTGCATATCACAATACAGGGGTTATGATTCAGTATATTGCGATGTATTACCATACTGTAAGCCAGCCAATTTGTTTTTAAAAATCTACTTTTAGCAAAACTGCCGTAGTATTTTTTAAAGTGCAGTGAGATCGGCCTTTGTATGTATCACAGTCCCTGTAACAACCAACATCATAGCCCTCGGTTTGCATTTACAACACTGCTATGTAACGGTTTAGGGTTTATACATGAAAAATTCAATATCACAAAATAAAATATTGCAATACAACATGTTTTACAAATTTACACAAAAGTTACATAACACAGACAGAATCTACTAAAAATAAATAGCTTGTTTTTGCAGAAACGTCCTGCAGTTGGGTTCATTGTACAGTTTATCAGTTGTTCTGTACTGTTATTGATTATCAAACTGTCACTAATTAGCACATCTTCTGACTCATCACTTAGCTAACTTAGCTACATGTAGCTTTACAGTATACTGCTGATGTTTCAGCTAACAAATTAAATTAGCTAACCTGGCTGCACTTTTCACAATAAAATATACATTTTAGGATGTCTTTTCTGTAGCTACTAGCTGTTTCTTTTAAAGGGTCATCTAATCTCCTCCTACGTATTATCAAAACATACATTTTAATCCATATTAAACATATTAAACAGTTTTGTAAACTGTTAGTTTACAAACGCACCTGAACGCCACCGCTCTTGAACGCCACCGCTCTTGAACGCCTCCCTCACTGGACGTTTCATGGCGAAGGTGAGTTATCTAATGTTAATGTTGGATGTTTTGTTAACACAGATAGCAAACTTTAGCGTCTACAACCAGCTGCCAGCTTATGTTAATGTTATTTATTAAATGGCCTAAATGTGGAAAATGGTATGTAACATCGCCTGTTATATAATATTATTATTATACAAATACGTTTAAGAAATGGGCGAATTCGAGTTGCTCAGTAACAGGAAACAGATTCACCCTGTTTACTAACAACTAACAATAACTCACTTTCTCCAAAACCACATTGAAAGCAGACCCGTTTTTTTTTTTTTTGTACTTCTTTATTAATTTGCCATGCTGGTGGTTTATACATCTCGTGTTTGAGTCTTTATTTTGAATACTGTTATTAAATAATGTATGTAACTGTTATGCTTTCATAATCTACAGCAGTATTAGCAGATAGGATGAGAAAGTGGTGGCACCTGGTTTAAGATTGTTTTGAAGCCTTAATAGTGCCTTTAGGTAGTTTTTGTTACTTGCATTGAATCATTAAAGAAAACCCACCAAATTAATTTGAATGATTTTACAGAAAATGCCATTTAGGGAGTCATTAAAACAGTAGTCAAACACAAAATGTGAATTATTCTTGACCCTACTGAAGGTCACATGAGGTAAATGCTAGGAAAAAAGCAATAGCATCAGGTTGTAGTAGAGCACAAAGTGACCTTTGACCCTTGATTACATTAAAGGTCATGGAAGGGTCAGTGTAGTACTTAAGTATCCAAAGTATATATAGACTTTATTGTCTAAGTTTAAGTTTGCAGCCATATACAGTATCATCAGAACTTATTTGACTGTGTAATAGTGGTTGGAAAGACATTGAACGTTTTACATCGTATCAAATTCATTTAACTCAGATTGAATCATGGAAAAAGTGTGAGATAATGATGGATTGAATCTTTACAGAATCAAATAGCATATATTAAATCAGGGTAGCGTTACCTTAAAGGTCCAGTGTGTAACATTTAGGAGGATCTATTGGCAGAAATATAGAATATAATATGCATTTCTGTGTTTTCATTAGTGTATAATCACCTGGAAATCATTACAGAAGCCCAGAATAGACAAGATAGGACTGATGACATTTTTTGTGGCCACCGTAGTTTCTCCTTTGTGCTTAGAACATGAGGGTGAAGCGAGGGAGTTGCAATACACTGCACTACCACGCACCCCCAAATGCCCATTAATCCTACACACTGGTCTTTTAAATGTAGTTAAGACAGCTTGTATCTTAATGCACTATTTACACGCCTGACTATAGCTTTATCCGAACATTTATTTTGAGCCTGCCATCTGAAAGTTAAAACACGCCACCTGCCTTCACAAGTTATCAGTCCCGAATCTCCACAAAGGACAAATGACTATTTAGAATCCACAAAGAGCATCTGATCAACAAGCTCATCATCCTTCACCGCTGCAGAAATAATCCTTTAAGCCCAGTTTGGACACACCAAAGACACACAGGGTTTGTTTGTGTTTTTGCTTCCTTAAATGGAAGTTTTCACCTCCCTGTTAATGAGCTGGAACAACTGGGAGAGCTTTTTCTCACTGCATTTAAAACTGAAAAAATCATTTCATCAGCATTTTACGTTATCTTTAACCGGTGCAGAGCAATTTTCTGTATTTTATGGTGTTTTATTGAAGCAACTAATAGAAGACTAATCAGTACATTAATTAATAATGAAAATAACTGTTTCTGCCTGTATTGTGATTTCTCCCACAGATTGCTTTCATTGTACATAATTTGACCTCTTTAGGTAAGTATTTATGTAGGATCATTGACTAATGTAAAAACAATGATTCAGTGTGTTCTACATTTTAAATACAAAATCTGTCAGATGACAAACCTGAATTTCTTAAAGAGTGCCTCTTTATTGCAGCGTAATAATCATTTTTTTACACTTGAACTTATGAAAGAGGGAAGGAACTTCCCAGCAGTTGGTTTGAGAGATCGGAGCATTCAGCACGTCGATCAGCCTTGACTGAACTCTGTGTGTCAGAGTCTGAGGATGAAGATCGCCGTGCTGGGAGCCACTGGACAGACCGGACAGTATCTGATCAACCAGGCGCTGCAGCAGGGCCACATGGTCACCGCCATCGTCAGGAACCCGGGAAAACTCACTGTGCATCATGATAATCTCAAGGTAATGTTGGACATATTGTGCCGCTGCTCACTGCATGTTGGGTTCAAAGTTCAGACAGTGTGAAGTCACATGATGAATGTTGTATTGTGTGAGGGTTATATAAGGTATAACCTTGAGTACTGCTTTCTGTTTCTGAACAGTAGACACAAAAGTTCTTGTAGGTTCAACATCTGGGTGTGAAACAGCACACAGCAGTGCAGATAACGATGTGGACTTGGCAACACTACAAACATAAGCCTTGTGTTATTCTAGATTTTTCTTAGTGTCAACCAATTCCACAAAAGGCCAAAACCAACAATTCATTTATTATATTAACAAGGATCATCTGATGTAGCTTATTCCTCTGTGCCTTAGAGCTCTATTGTCGTCCATTAAAAGCACTTAAATGAGCCAAACAGTTACACTGAGTGACTTAAATGCTTCAGAATAACAAACATGCACCGTTCTCCTGCTGTAAATACTCAAAAGCTACAGTGAGGCACCAGAGCAATGGCTTGTAATTGTTATTGTAATCTACTTAATGGGAAAACTGATGCACATCTTCAGAATACAAAATGAAACAATGGAAAATGTTAATGAACTCCTTTTTTCTTATTCTATACTTCTATACTTATTATTTCTTATTTAATGATGCAGATCTCAGGTAAATCAGGATTTAAGTGGAAATAAACAAGTGCCCAGCTGTTTCAGGAAATTATTGATCCTTTAAAAAATGTAAACTATTTATGTGTGACCCGTTGTTAAAGACTTCCGTAGAAACCAGTAGAAAACAGGGACAGGTAGGGAAGTAGGGAACAATTAAAAGGTTTGACTAACACCTTTAGTTTTCGTCTATCCATTGAATTTGTTGACAAACACAAAAATATAGAGTAAAACCAGGCTTATCTTTGATACTACTGTAATGTGGTCAATCCGGCTTTTTGTAACTATCAATTCATTCATTCATTTGAAATGTATCATCTGTCAACTTTGAATTGGACTGTGTCTGATCTCAAACAAAGAGGTTCCTGCTCTGCTTTAACAGTATATCTAAAGTAAAATTCACCTCAGCATTATTCATGTTTCCCTGTTTGCTACCTTCAGGTGGTGGAAGCTGATATTTTCTCACAAGACAATCTGAAGACTCATTTCAAAGGACAGGATGTGATCATGTCCTGCCTCGGCTTCCCAGCCTCCATCTTCTCAGGGGTGACGGGCTACACCCAGTCCATGAACGCTATGATCAGCGCCATGCGAGAGGCCCGGGTCAACAGGATCATCACAATGACCTCCTGGTACACGGAACGTAAGTGCAGCACACATGATGATGCTTCCTGTGGGGCTTTTTTGTGATTTGATAGTGAAAAATTCCCCCCAGTTGTTTCCAATTTGGGATGCTCTAGGAGTTGTTTTGTGTTATGTTGTAATTAACTGTGGCTACTTATCCAAGTAGTTTGTGAACATTGGCTTGTTGTGTCATTGCGTTGTGGTGTATTGAGGCTGTTATTACAGAATTTGATATTAACCAATCAGTCTTATGAGTGTTGTCTTATTTTGGGCAATATATATATAATGTGCAATATATATACATAGTTAACACTGTATATAGCACCGTATTTATTTTGCAAATGTACACACTCCTCAGGACTGTGCACCTTACCTCCCTTTTTTTGTACTATTACTTTATGTCCTATGTTTATATTGTATATATTTTGATAATTGTACTGTTTTTTGCACTGCTATTGGAGTTGGCTTTTTAATCTCATCGTATATGTGTACAGTGACAATAAAGGCATTCTATTCTATTCTATTCTATTCTATTTGTCATTGGCACAAATGGAATTCTGATTTTTTATTAAAATAATGTTTGAGAATTGTGGAATACAAATTATTTTAAGTGTCTTTCAGGATCTGCTGTTTACACTGTTTTAATGTGTACAAATACCTAAAAGCATCACTTTACAGTTCAGACAATTTACTGACTAAGTTGACTTTCTAATTCTGTGTGGTAATGTATTGCAGAAAATTTGTCTGCACATCAAAGGATTATTATCAGAATTGAACATTTTTACTGTGTACATTCTGAGTGAAATTTTAGAGATTTAAGAGAAGAATCTTTTCAGAAGTTTCACTGTGTTTTTTCTCTTATGTTGTTAGCTAACTCTGGAGCGCAGTCATCTTACCTCATCCGGTTCCTCCTGCTGCCGATGATCCGAAGCGTCCTCACCAATATGCACGAGATGGAGCAGTTTCTGCACAAGACTGAGGACATCAACTGGACGGTGGTTCGCCCACCTGGTCTCAAGAACCTGCCGGCCTCAGGTAAAAGCTGACATGCGGCGGCCAACAAGGGGTAGAAACATACAAACAGACTTAAGAACATTTATTCAACAAGAATAGCAGGGTGCCAGTTTGGCTGCAGAGAGAGGGTGACGCCATAAAGAACTGAAGAGCTTCATTCAGTGTGTGTTTAACAAGCCCTTCGGCCTCAGTATCCATTTTGACATAGTTCAAGCTCATTAGCGTACTTAATGAAGTGTTTATGAGAATGAATGGGTCCCATTTTTATATTAATCCTATTCCTTTCCTTGAGGTTTCAGCATGTGAAGGATCAATTTTAAATGCTGTTGTCGTAACGCCTCTGACTCCCAGTTTTTCATTATTTTGTCCTCTTCAGCTCATGAGTTTCTGACCCATGAAGGATATTTTGTGCCCGACAGCAGTGGTAACCCCGCAGGCAGCGCAGTGGGGAGAGGAGACGTGGCTCGCTTCATGCTTTCTCTGCTCAACAGCAACGCATGGGTCAAGAAGGGAGTCGCCATCACTACCAAATGAGAAAGAAGAAGCCTTAAGAGTCAATTCGCACAAAGTACAAAGACATATTTGACCTCACCTTTGAGATTTCTGCCTCCACACCAATAAAAAAAAGAGATAAATGTTCTGGATTTACAGTCTTTACAGTCACTTTTTGAGTGTTTTTATTCACTCTCGCTGCTCTTGTCAACCTTGTTTCCAGCAGCAGCAGCAGCAGTGTACTGTTTACAGCTCTGATCAGTCCACTGTACGCTACCTGCACTGCACCAAAAAGCAGAATTAGCTACTAACTGGTGAACATAATCAAACATTTAGCAGCTAAAAAGTTAAATATTCCCCTCGGGAGCTGTTGGAGAGCAAAACAGAGCTACAAGGAGAGTGAATATTGAATATCGCATTCATGAGTTTTCCATAAAAACAAGTTCACCACAACAACTTTATAAAATAATTGTATTCCAATGTTGCATTTACAGTTTAAGTAAGTTATTACTGCTATAAACTGGATCTGGATAATCCTACAGATCTTAATGTAAACAGTTTTCACTGGAACATCATTTCTAAAAAAGAGATTTTTGTAAATGTTTCACTGCAGTAAGGAAAACAAACAAAATTCACCTCACCTCTATTTTATTTGGTTGACAGCAGAAATGACAGCAATCGATATTTTAACCCTGTGCAAATAAAGCCTTAACTATCTCCATGGTTAGATGCCTCCACTGGAGCTAAGAAAGCAAGAAATTGTCTTTTTTAATTGGGGTGAACTGGTCCTTTAACAAAAAATGTGTTGTCTATCTCCTGCCTTCACAGTCTGCTACTGGATATAATGGCATAACTGCCTTTTATAGCCTAATCTGTCTTTTTATGACCTCTCGTTTAACATATACTTGTTTTTATATACCATTTAATTATATTAGCCATACTTTATTACTCACAAGGGTACAGTTCACTTACACATTGTAGTACATGATTTCAGCCATATGAGGATAGTGTTGTGCCATATCTGATAGCAGTAAGAGCAAGTCAGCTGGAGTCACGGCAACATTTCCATTTGCTAGTTGATTAAACACGAATGAATGAAACTCTTATAATGTTGCACCATGTGTTTGCATGAGCACTTTATGTTCAAATATGTACTGTATCAGTTCTGTAAATTAAACATACAATAATGTTTAGGAGAATGTACCTTACAAGTTAGACAAATTGGGGTTTTGGAAAGCCTGTGTGTGCAGTCAGTCCCTTAGACTTCTGATTTTGCTTCCAAGAAAATCTACAGAATTCTTCTTGTCACCGATTTCATCTTCGGTAGGTTAATGTTCTTTTGGATCCCAGGTTTCATCACAGCAAAATTCTTCCGGTATTTAAAGAAGAAAAAGAAACTGAATTCTACTCACATGACAGAAAATGTTTGTTGCACTAATGAGTTAAATTGTATTATGCAGCACTTCAGGCCCCACCCAACGCTGTGATGTAACACAGGGTGTTTGACCTCATCTGTCAAAGATAAAACACCTGGGTATCTTTTCCAGTGATCAAGGTGTAGTCAGATGTGCAACATACTTAAATGTATGTGAACAGTGTAGAGCAGTGGCAAGCAAAAAAATCTCTGTAACATATGTTATCACTCATCACTCTGTAAACATTTATTTTTGTTTACTAATGCCAAATAAAATTTGACAAACAGCTATCACTCATGAAATGTTTAAAAGTCATTTAAATGAGAAGCAATCTGATATGTGTGTGTGAGCGTAAAGGGACATTTTCTACAGTTTTGTGTGAATGTTTGTATGTTTGTAATGGGAAAACAGATTATACTTTAGTGCCCTGACCTAAATTCAACACATTCACATAAAAAAATTAAGCTAAAAAAATCTTATTTTTTTAACCTGGTTTGTCCAAATCAACACAATCATGGAACATCTATGACAAAATAAACATTTCAGTATTCCTGTACATGGACAAGCAAACATTCATTCAAATTCAAATGCGTGATTTGCACGTTTGTGATTTGAGAAATTCAAGCTATTGATATTCTTTCATCTATATCTGTGTATACATATATATTAATGGATAGCTGAAGAGTGACAGGAAGGGGGGGACGGAGCAAAGGAATGGAAACTGGAATTGAACCTTTGGCCACTGTAGCAAAGATAATGGTTCACAAGGTGTCCAGATTTTAAAGAGGATGTTTCCCATCCTGCATGTGGCTTTGGTGCTGAGTTATAATGTATAACTCCCCTGTGTATTAAGATTTTGGCTCTGATTAGGACATTTTATTTACAAAATGTGCACAGTTTGTTCACACTGTGAAACTGTATGCACATTTAACAGCTTAAATATCGATTTGGAAGAGACAACAGAAACTCGACATTAAAACATAGCAGCACAACAACATCAGTTCCATCAAATACAACAGAATCAGAATCAGAATTTTTCCCGTTAAATCATTTCAGTTAAATCAGTTCATAAACATGCCCCAACTTTTCCCACGGCTGCCTCTCTTGAGTAATATCTCATCTCTGTGCAGTCTACTGTTTTGCCACTGCATACATTTCATTGATTTTCTCCTCGTACATCTTCACAACAATGGGCCTCCTCAGTTTCATGGTGGGTCCTGCACAGACAAAAAAGAGACCCAGATTAATTCAATCTCAAGTTTCTACTGAGTGACACGAGCACAATGACAACATTAGATCCACAGTATCTTTAAAAAGGTTTCTGAGAGAGATTCAGTTGCTATCAAACAAACTTCCCTGGTATGTTGTTATACCAGTGACATGCAGCACAGTCACAAGGCTTGTCTGATCACAACATGTCCTTGATTAAAAGCTGATGAAACAGCAGGTTAAAGAGTGATTGTAGTGAACACTTCCTCATTCCTTAATAATAGTTGCCTATCGTGTAGACCTTTGCTCCAGTTTTAATGCCAACTGGCTCATAAAAGAAATCAAAACCAACGGCAGTAGCTCACCCAGTTCTCCTCCCCCGACAGAGAAGTCTCGCTCCAGTATGATCCACTTCTGGACCTTCTGGGCGTTGGACGTTGCTCTGGCGTTGATGCGCTCCATGCCCTCCTGAATGGCTTTGTAGATGGCTGGCTCCTTATTGGCTATGATCTCTGACACCTTGGTCGCTGAGACACCGTTCTGCTGACAGAAGTCCAAAGCTTCAGGGCTCAGCTCGTCTGTTGGATCGCCGTTGTCGTCCACGACACACTGAAGGAAACAGGAAACAGAGAGAAAGGGTCATTACTGTGTTTGTTTTATTCATTTAGTAGCTGGAGGCTGAGCGGAGGCCCAGTTACTTTGAGAGTGAGCAGCATTGAGAGGAACTTGAGCTTGTCTCCGATCAGCATGACGTTGCTGATGATGGGAACCTCGGCCTTCAGTGCATCCTCGATTGGCACAGGAGGGATGTTCTCTCCACCGGCGGTGATGATCAGTTCTGTTCAAAGATAACACAGAAACACAGTGACCGTCGTCTTAGCATTAGATAATCAGATATAGGCAGCATCACAACACTGATACTGTATATAAACATACAGTGTCCTCAATCATCTCATCTCACCTCAGGAAGAGGAGAGACAAATAGAGACACTTGCAAGAAGTTAGTCAATTAAGGGAAACTCGGGGGCCTAGTCCCATTTTGCATCTTAATAATAAATATACAATAGGTGTTTGCTTCTGGTCTGTGGCCCACCATTGAGTCTGTGTTTTGGCCCTCCAAGCAAAAAAGTTTTGGCACCCCTGGCTTAGACCAATCACTGAAAAGCTGACAAAGATGAGTAAACCTATGCAAATCCATGTTACCATAAATGCTCCAAAATTCTTCTTGTGGTGCATCTAAGAACATGCTAGAAGCTTCTTTGACCACAGCTTACCCTTGATCCTTCCTGTGATGTACAGGAAGCCATGCTGGTCGTGTTTTCCCAGATCTCCAGACTGCAGCCAACCGTCCTGGTCAATAGCCTCGGCTGTTTTGTCAGGCGAGTTCAGGTAGCCCATAAACACGTGTCGACCCCAGAAACATATCTCTCCATTCCCGTCCTCATCTGGTTTGTCCAGCTTCGTCTGGCAGCCTGGCAACACCTTTCCACAGCTGGAAAGACAAATCAACATGATCATTAAGACCTGATATAACCATAAAATTTATATTATATATATGTCATATATATGTCATATTTAATTGAGGTCTTTTTAAATGACAACTCAAGCATGTCTCATTTTGTTTCTCTCTTTTTTGCCACCTCCACTCAATGAAATCTATAACAATATTTAATATTGTCAGACTCTGAATGTACAGTAAAAAAAAAAACAATCAAACTGACTGGGATATCATCTTTTTGTTATGTTATGTTGTGTTTTGCTAGTAGCTGCTAATGTAGCCTGGAGCTGTGAGTCTCAAGCAGAGATGAGGAGTGAGTTACAGAGGCCTGATGAGCTCACTTCCTCTTCTTCTTTTAACTCCACAGCACCAGATATTTTTCCTTTTCAAGCCCCAACCGATGCTGACTAACTTGTAAATAGAAATGTGTCAAGTCTGTGGAGTTCCCCTTTATTAACATTTTTACTGGAGAGAAAATTACAAAATTACAAACATGTTGTCACAGCATCTTATAGTAACATCCATAGCAACACTACTGACCTTGTGATGCGGTACTCTTCATTAAGGGATATGGTGTGTGGCCCGGAGCTTTCACTCATGCCGTATAGCTCCAACACTGGGATGTTCAGGCTCATGAAGTACTCCAAAGTTTCTTTGGTGATGGGAGCAGCGCCTGTGAAGCAGACCTTGCAGCGGTCTAAGCCCAGTGCAGCACGCACCTTCTTAAAGACCAGATTATTAGCCAGCATGAAGCCCCACGGCACCAGATTCTCCCTGTAAACCAGAAGATAAAGTAACATTTACACAAGGACTGGAGGTTATATTTTTGAGGTCAAGTTTTGTCATTTGTTCGAATCAAGGATAGGAACCAAAATGAAACATCACCAAGATGTCATGATCACAAGATACTTTTCTTGTGATCATGACTTCATGATCTTGTTATTATAAGAACTTTTTGCATAATTATGAGATAGTAAGCAATAATTTTAAGATCTGGAAGAGCATGTTGTCATTCCCAACAGCCTCAGCTGCACACTTTGTGGTTGGTGCTATGTAGCAATTGTTAGCATGCTAACATGCTAAACTCAGATGGTGAACATGGTAAACAGTACACCTGTTAAACATCAGCATGTTAGCATAGACCTTTTTCACAGCAACCATTGACACTAATTAGGGCTCAGTTCCATTTATTGTAGCAGAGGCTTTCCACCCTGACTCAGTTCGACCTGAATGTAAGGAAACCTTAACATTAGTATCATTGCTAACAACTGTGTTAGTGCCACAAGAATAGCTGTAGACTGTTAGTCTTCTTTGTGGATTCTGATAAATTATTATTATTGTTTTCAAATGAACCTCTAAATATTCACTTCGTTGATATCAATCATACAGAGGAAATTTGTAATATCCCCTCATCACCTCTGGATAAAAAGAGCGTTGTTATTGACAACTGGCACAAACAACTGATGTGTTCTTGCTGAGTTCAACAAAGGATCCCTGCTGCTGTCTCACCCGTTCATGACACTGTAGTTGTACTTCAGACCTATGGACTTGGCCCTGTCTGCCACTCTCTTCCTCATTGGGGGCGCCTTGGCACCAATAGCTTTCATCTTCTCCTGCATCTTCTCCCACACACGAGGAACCCCCAGGAAACAAGTTGGACGAGCCTCTTTCAGTGTATTTGCCAAGGAGCCCTGAAAGAATAAATGGTGATTAGTCAAAATAGAAAACCTTCATTATTAGTTTTATAAACAATTTTATAAAATACAACAGTAGGCATCCTTACCTTGAGGGCGTCTGGCTCTGCAAAGTAGGTGGTCATGGCAAAACTAATAGACATCCACATGTCAAACATCTGGGCTGCCACGTGGCTGAGCGGCAGGTAACTGACCACCACCTCCTCAGCACGGTTAATATTTGCCTTGGAAAGTGCTGCATTGGCTGTCCATGTCAACTGCACATTAACAAGTGGGAGAGGAGTCGTCAGAGAGTTATTTTAACTATCTTGTCTTGTTTTATGTATCTCATCTAAATAACTCACATTGTCATGGCTCAACATGACTCCTTTAGGGTTGCCCGTGGTTCCAGAGGTGTAGATGAGAGTACAGCACTCGTTGGCCCGAAGACTCTCAATCATGGCATTCAGCTGCTCCTCGGGCACGTCCTCTCCCAGCTTCATGAACTCTGCCCACTACAGACATACAGGGATTATTAAATGTATATAACTCCAGACTGAGCTGTACTGAACTGCAGCTGTATAGCACAGTTTAATACATTTGAGTTCAGTCACATTTATCTAGTTGCAATTCTTACCCAACAAATCAGAAAGATAATCATTTTGCATTAAAAGGGTCGACGGTGCAGCTGTAGGTATTTGCTGAGTGAACGTACTGTATACAGGAAAGGTGCTTTCTGCTGCAGCTCGCCTTTATACTGAACAATGGCTTTCAGATGAGGTAGTTGATCTTTAACCTGGTGAAAAAGACAAAGTCACTTGAGGGCAGATTTCTTTCTATCTTTGCAAATTGTTGTTAGAGACCCACAATAAACTCCTGACCTGCAGGATTTTTTCAAGCTGTTTCTGGTTTTCCACAACAAGGACGTTGGCCTGACAGTTGTCAGCCACATACTGACAAGCTTCAGGGGAGTTGGTAGTGTAAATTCCAGTTGCTAGACCCCTGAGGCACAAATCAGATACAGGAGAATAAAAAGCTGATTTGCTGTGGAGTGTCTTAGCCAAAATAGACAATGTAAACAATGACTTAAAAACAGAAGAGGAATAACATGAGATATGCCACATGATTATCAAATCATATAAAGTTTCTAACACAATTATAGAAACACAATTATCCTAGAAACAACTTAATGAACGAATGACGAATTTTAAATTAATAGATTTGTTTTACTGGATTCCTCACTGCAGAAATTAAAGTAAATTTAGTAAAGAAATGACCAGTCTAACATCCACATTAGGTTTCCAGATATTTCAAACTGGAACAGCGCAAACAGGTCTGGGCAGAGACGGACTTTGAGATAGACATGAGTGTTCAGCATCAGATGAAACAATGCTGTGATTTCAATGTGATCTCACCCGGCAAAGATGCAGCCAACGTCCGAGATGAACCACTCAGGGGAGTTGAATCCCAGAATTCCCACACCATGGTAGCGCTCCAGCCCCAACTAAAAAAACACAAGTTATGTGTGTTTATGTATTTTTAATGACACGGCGGCACAGTGCCTCCATTACTCTTGACCTAAATCTCGTTTTAAAACAACTCCACCTCATGAGACACAAACCTGTCCATGAAACAGGAGATGTAACACAAGCTGTGAATTTCACACACCCAAGAGTTCTCACACCACAGAGATTACAGTGAGAGAGGGAGCCAATTCTGAGGTACTGTTTACAAAACAGGTACCAGGAATTGAAGGTTTAATGTAGCTTGTATTTGCTGCAATATAGTTCACTGCTATAGTAGTTTAGTTTAAAAGAGTAGGATATTTAATACAGTGCGGGCAGAAAGTAATAATAACTCTGTATTGGCTATACTTCAGCACACTGGATTTGAATGAAACAGTGACTATGACTTCAAAGTACTGACTCTCAGCTTTGCCGCTATCTGAAGAAGACCAGACTAAAAGCAAGAAGTCAAGAAGTGATGATGGCTGCAGTAAAAGTCTGGGAGACTCACCAGGATGGATATCAACTGCTGATGACTTTGTGTCTGATTATTATATATATGATGATTTTATGGCAACACTTAGTTCCTTCTAAAGTTTACGTGTATCTAATCACTTGAAACTGCCATAATTAGGCTACAGTTCTACATTGTTAACCCAAAACAGATGTAAACATCCTTAAATTAAAACTAAAAGCATTCACAGTTAATGTTTTATTCAAAATCCAATGTATTGGAATAGAGAGCCGACATACTAAAAATTTGTCACTGCCCAAATATTTCCTGATTGAACTGCAGTAATAGTATACATTTTTCACACAAACCTACCCTGAGGAAACTTTTGGCAGCTGCCCGGCACTGCTCGTAGTATTGCCTCCATGTCATAGTCACCCACTGGCCCTCTTTTTTATAAACCAAGGCTGAGTGATCCCCGTAGCTTTCCACCGTCTCCAGGAACATCTGATGGATGGTGATGGGAGTGTTTGAGGCCGAACCTGAGCCCTCCATCCTCAGCCTGACTGCCTTGTCTCTGCTGGTGCTCCATAGCTGGTCAGCTGGGGCCAGAGTTGTTGTTACATTTGACAGTGGAACAGCCTTGGGCTCTTCTGTATTGGGACAACAAGGGCAGCCACATTTACCTGCCATAATGAGTGCAATAAAGTCCAATTCAGAAGACACCTGCTCCACACCAAGACGCAGCAAGCTTGACCTTTAGCAGGAGAGTCAGGTCTATCAGAAGACTGCAGACATCTCTGGATTACCTCTGTGAGATTCTCACAGCTGCTGTCTCAGGGCTACAATACATGATTTGCAGGTTGTACAGTGGACTGGGGAATGCTGTGCTGTTACCTGTTACCTGAGATAAAACAGGAAGCTGTGGAATGTCCTTGCCTACATACCTATCAGGTTTGGTTAGAGGAAGTATAATGGTTTAACACAGTACAACAGACTTAGTTACTTGATAAAATTACTTACTATGAAAGAACACGCAATAAATGTTTTTCGTTTTCCAAAAATGTACAAAGTCATTGCTAACCCCCCCCCCATTGTTAGCTTTTTCTTCTTTTTTTATTGTACTTTTTTTAATTTTAAGTTTTTCCTTGCCACTGTCGCACAGTGCTTGCTCATGGTGGGAATTGTTGGGTCTCTGTAATTACTTTTATAGGACGTCTAGACCTGCTCTAGATGAAAAATGTCCTGAGCTACCTATGTTTTGGCGATATACAAATTAAACTGAATCCAAGTCAGTCACTCTACCCACACTCTTATTTCTGAGTCTTGCCAAAATTCTTGGACTGTATTGATTCATTTGTTCTTTCCTTTGCTTTTTCTAGAAAATGTCAAAAAAGTCCTTTATCTTGCTGATCTTGAGATCTGGTTCTCCCTGTGAGCAAGTGATACATGTTTGCTCACCCAGACTGGCCCTTCCAGTCTGCTGTTTGTCTTTACTGCCCCACTGCTCCACAGGATCCACACTCAGTGGGTGTTGGTCATAGTAGTGACACCATTGACAGTATATATAAGTGCCAGATGGCTGGATCCAAATGAGAGTAGCAGGCGAGGTGAGCACCCTCCTGATTGGGTGGAAGAGCTATCTCAGTAGTCAAGGTGGACAGATAGAAACATGACACACACAACAAACATTTCATTTTTGTATTTTTTTCCTGAATTTCCTGTGCAAATCTTTTTTTTTTAAGAAAAACAACCAGTGAAAGAAAGACTAATTTTTCATTAACTCCTAAGGCCATCTTTCACAACAAACAAACCTAAAAATACAAAAAGCCTAAAAAGCTAAAGTTCTGGAGTGTGTGTTTTTAAGTTGATTATTTTATCATAAAATTATTTTTTTTAAATTGCAAATTACTTGTCAAAACATTTTTAGAAATTTTAGAAAATAAAATGATTGTTTAACAGTCATTTATCAAGCAAAATTTAATTTGCTGGTCCAAGCTCCTCAAATGTGAGGATTTACTGTCCTCACAATCTAATTGTAAAATATACTGCATTCATGTCATACTGGATGCACTGTAATTATAAATTCCTGACTTACAACTACTTAAATAAAAAAGCCAATATGGTCTGATGTGGAAATTTCTTTAAAATAAGTTAAATACTGAAACAGTTACTCAAATATTTGATTATATTTGAGCAAAAATGCCAATTCCAGCCTCCTAGATGTTAAGATTTGCTATCTTTCTTTGTTTTTCACCATGCTGCATAATTTTAAAATTAAATTGTAGCATAGCAATAGTTATGATGCTTCCTACATAAATTGGATACATTCACTACATAAAAAGTGGTAATTCAAAAAGTAAAAATTCACACATTTTTCAACCCGGTTTGGTCAATTTGTTCAAATCACTCACGTTTTATTGACAATCATGGAACATCTATCACAAAATAAACAATTCAATAGTTGTCAAACTGTACATGGAGAAGCAAAAAATATTTCAAATTCAATGGATGATTTACCATTTGCACGTGTTTGTGATAAGAAAAATTCATTCTCATCACATTATAAAAATATTTATTCAAACATCTCCTCCGCTCTTCAGGCAATGTCTTCAGCTTTGCCAGATGTTTACGCACGTACACAACATGAGACTGGCTATTAATTCTGTAAAATCTTTAAATACATACTGCTGCTTCAAAAATAAAATACATTATCACATGATCAAACGTTTCATTTTTCAGGCCACAGCGGATTATGGTTCACAAAATGTCCTTTAAAAACTGTAAAATTGTGAAAGTTACCTTCCCTAAATGATGACAGTTTCCAGTGTTTCCCATCCTGTATGTGGCTTTGGTGGAGTTATAATGTACAATTCTCCTGTGTATGCCACACAGTATATGGTAAAATGTTGGCTCTGGTTAGTTTTATTTACAAAATGTGCACAGCTGCTGTGAAACTGTATGTACATTTAACAGCTTAAATATCGATTTGGAAGAGACAACAGAAACTTGACATTAAAACATAGCAGCACAACAACATTAGTTCCATCAAATACAACAGAATCAGAATCAGAATTTTTCCTGTTAAATAATTTTTCCACTTTTAACATGTGAAAAGTGGTTTAATCATTTCACAACATGACATCTGGGCATGCCCCAAGTTTCCCACGGCTGCCTCTCTTTAGTATTATCTCATCTCTGTGCAGTCTACTGTTTTGCCACTGCATACATTTCGTTTATTGTCTCCTCGTACATCTTCACAACAATGGGCCTCCTCAGTTTCATGGTGGGTCCTGCACAGACAAAAAAGAGACCCAGATTAATTCAATCTCAAGTTTCTACTGAGTGACACGAGCACAATGACAAGTTGCTATCAAACAAACTTCACTGGTATGTTGTTATACCAGTGACATGCAGCACAGTCACAAGGCTTGTCTGATCACAACATGACCTTGATTAAAAGCTGATGAAACAGCAGGTTAAAGAGTGATTGTAGTGAACACTTCCTCATTCCTTAATAATAGTTGCCTATCGTGTAGACCTTTGCTCCAGTTTTAATGCCAACTGGCTCATAAAAGAAATCAAAACAAACAGCAGTGGCTCACCCAGTTCTCCTCCCCCGACAGAGAAGTCTCGCTCCAGTATGATCCACTTCTGGACCTTCTGGGCGTTGGACGTTGCTCTGGCGTTGATGCGCTCCATGCCCTCCTGAATGGCTTTGTAGATGGCTGGCTCCTTATTGGCTATGATCTCTGACACCTTGGTCGCTGAGACACCGTTCTGCTGACAGAAGTCCAAAGCTTCAGGGCTCAGCTCGTCTGTGGGATCGCCGTTGTCGTCCACGACACACTGAAGGAAACAGGAAACAGAGAGAAAGGGTCATTACTGTGTTTGTTTTAGTCATTTAGTAGCTGGACAGTCTGGAGGAGCGGAGGCCCAGTTACTTTGAGAGTGAGCAGCATGGAGAGGAACTTGAGCTTGTCTCCGATCAGCATGACGTTGCTGATGATGGGAACCTCGGCCTTCAGTGCATCCTCGATTGGCACAGGAGGGATGTTCTCTCCACCGGCGGTGATGATCAGTTCTGTGTAAAAAGGACAGAAAAACAGTGACCTTTTTGATAAAACATTACATTGTATTGTTTTCCTGGATTTGAATTTTGAATTTTGACATGAATTTTTCCTTTTAAGAACAACAAGCAGTGGAAAAATATTTAAATTACAACCCCTGTCTCCTAAGGCCATCCTCCTTTTACTACAAACTAATCTAAAAAGACAAAGAAGCCCAAAAAGTGAAGTAAAAATTAGTCATAGTAACTAAGGTCACAATGCATAACATGTTTTAAAGTTACGTGTTTTAGTATCCAATTATGTATATTGTCCTTTTCAAATCAAATCTCATTGTGGAAGTGATGGAAAGGATCAATCTAGTATTTTCTAGATAATCCAGTGATTATTGTTTTACAGTTTATTAACCAAAAATGCATTTGCTGGTTCAAGCTTCTCAAAGCGCCCCAAAAACCTTGTTGTGAACAGTTTCATGTAGGAACTATTTTCTTTCTATGTCACACTGTGCAGAAGGAAGCGCGTATCTACTCATGGCTGAGAGGCTCGTGCTAATGACATCACAGGATGTAAACATTAATGGCGTCCTCCTCTGCAGAGCTGTGCGTGAGAAAGCTAATATTCAGCTACGATTGGCAGGTGTAGCTGAGTAGAAACATTTATGTTTTTGGTTGCAACACAAGCCGAGAGCCATCTGGGTTCATTATATTCAAGAGAAGGCAGATATCTCTAAAACTCGTCAACTATTTTTGGGGCTGAAGCTGACAAAGATGAGTAAACCTATGCAAATCCATGTTACCATAAATGCTCCAAAATGCTTCTTGTGGTGCATCTAAGAACATGCTAGAAGCTTCTTTGACCACAGCTTACCCTTGATCCTTCCTGTGATGTACAGGAAGCCATGCTGGTCGTGTCTTCCCAGATCTCCAGAGTGCAGCCAACCGTCCTGGTCAATAGCCTCGGCTGTTTTGTCAGGCGAGTTCAGGTAGCCCATAAACACGTGTCGACCCCAGAAACATATCTCTCCATTCCCGTCCTCATCTGGTTTGTCCAGCTTCGTCTGGCAGCCTGGCAACACCTTTCCACAGCTGGAAAGACAAATCAACATGATCATTTAGACCTGATATAACCATAAAATGTATATATTATATATATATGTCATATTTAATTGAGGTCTTTTTAAATGACAGCTCAAGCATGTCTCATTTTGTTAAATGCCTATTGCCTCAACTCCTCTTTCCTCGTGTCTCTTTTTTGCCACTTCCATTCAATGAAATCTATAACAATATTTAATATTGTCAGACTCTGAATGTACAGTAAAAAAAAAACAATCAAACTGACTGGGATATCATCTTTTTTGTTATGTTATGTTGTGTTTTGCTAGTAGCTGCTAATGTAGCCTGGAGCTGTGAGTCTCAAGCAGAGATGAGGAGTGAGTTACAGAGGCCTGATGAGCTCACTTCCTCTTCTTCTTTTAACTCCACAGCACCAGATATTTTTCCTTTTCAAGCCCCAACCGATGCTGACTAACTTGTAAATAGAAATGTGTCAAGTCTGTGGAGTTCCCCTTTATTAACATTTTTACTGGA